GAAAGATTTTATTTGGTGTCGGTGGTGGATGGTGGAGAGGGGAGTGTCTGGTTTCTTGTTTACTTTGTGTTTCTTTATTAATGATTCGGCAACTCTCTCCAAACGCAAAATTTTAAAGATACAAAATGAGGTTGGATTGCAGTATGGAATAAAACGTATGATTAAAAGAACAGTTAGCTGTGTGTGGTTTAAAAAGATGAGGGGAGATCTCTAATGCTGGAATGGATTATTTTGGGAAATTAGAGCGGATACTTTCTCTACCCTCCTTAAAAACAACAGAGAAGAGACACAGCTTAAGTGGACTTTGGCCAAAATGCAGTCGTAAAGATGAAAGGAATTTGGGGTCATGGATGAGGGAGGCATGGAGACTTTGATGGTGATTAATTAAAATGAAAGTACAGTGGTGCCCCGCAAGACGAATGCCTCGCAAGACGGAAAACCCGCTAGACGAAAGGGTTTTCCGTTTTGGAGGTGCTTCACAAAACGAATTTCCTATGGGCTTGCTTCGCAAGACGAAAATGTCTTGCGAGTTCCTGCGGGGGTTTTTTCCTTCCCCCCCCCTTTTCCCAAGCTGCTAAGCCGCTTATCAGCTGATCCGCTAAGCCGCTAAGTCGCTTATCAGCTGATCTGCTAAGCCGCTTAACAGCTGATCCGCTAAGCCGCTAAGCCGCTTATCAGCTGATCCGCTAAACCGCTTATCAGCTGATTCGCTAAGCCTGCTAAGCCGCTAATAGTGCTAATCCGCTAAGCCGCTAATGGGCTTGCTTCGCAAGACGAAAAAACCGCAAGACGAAGAGAATCGCGGAACGGATTCTTTTCGTCTTGCGAGGCACCACTGTACTCCTAGATCCCCTGCAGTGGAAGCTGGATCCCTCTTTGTCGGGCTGTGGAAATTTTCTAGATGTTGAATGAGTAGTGAGAAAGAGTGGACTGTTGGAGTATGGGTGTGATGGCCTGGGATTCCGAGTCTGAGAGCGATCCGGAGGAATCCCAGCCGGCACAGGAGTCCCCGCCTCCAGGGCCTGCTGAACTGGGGCAAGGCCTAGATGCTGAGGAAACTCAAGAGCAGGCACCAGGTGAAATCATTCAGGCCCCAGAGGTGCTGGAAGACTCAGTGGCTACAGGTGAGCCTCCCCCGGGGCCCAGTAACCCTTCGGCCTCTCCTGATCTGCAGAGGCTTAGGGCAGAGAGGCGAAGGGAACTGGTGTCTCCCAGGAGGAGTGCTCGCCTTAAGGCCAAGAGAGGCGGGGCTTCTGGGGGCCAGGACCGCCCCCGGCCTTAGAAGAAGATAAAGGTCAGGCAGCCCGGTTCCAGGTTGCGGGAGCAACGTCGTTGTGGAGTACCTGTTTTACCCAGTCCTTGTTCGGCACTCCCAGTGTGCCTATTCCTCGCCCGGCTTCCTGTTTCTGACTCTCTGGTGTTCCGGTTCCTCGCCTGGCTTCCTGCTTCTGCCCTACCATCGTTCCTGTTACCCCGCCCGGCTCCCTGTCTCGGACCTCGCGTCTCATCTAGTGATCATCTACCCTGCTAGAGACTCTGAACTGATCTTGGCCTACGGTAATAGTACCTTATTCCCCCTGGGACCAGCACAATGAGATTGTCTAGAAACACTGAGGAAGATGAGAGCACGATGGGAGGGAGCTAATGAGATTTTTTGAGAGTTCTCCAGGATTATAGCCCCACCCCAGCTATGCTGACAGACAACAGCAGTAGGAGGAATTTCAAGAACTGGATAGCAGACAAAGGCCAAGGAATTTGTAATTGGATGTATTCAGATTGACGCAAGCAGAGAAAGGGAAAATAATTTAGAGCACCTCATTTGAATTCCTATGGAAAGTAAGATAAGGTATTAACACAAATAGTAATCGCTGAAAATGCAGCTGTTATCTTAATGATTATACCAACCGAAATGTAATTAGATGTTAATAAGAAATATGAACCACAGCAATAAAATAACTGGACAAAAACATTGATCAAAAAACCACTTTGATTAAATTGTATACATTTGGAATTAACTGGAATTATTTTAATATTAATGGAATCTGTATAATTGGCAAAACTGTGGTAATATTGGGAAAATATTGGACACACACACACACACAGTGGTACTTTGGTTCTTGAACGTAATCCGTTCCGGAAGCCTGTTTGAAAACCAAGGTGCAGCTTCCCATTGGTTGCAAGAGCTTCTTGCACCCAGCAGAAGCCATGTCACACATTCAGGTTCCGAAAAACATTCCAAAACAGAAGCATTTACTTACAGGTCTTCGGCATTTGAGAAATGAAACGTACAACAACAGAGGTGTTCAGGAACTGAGGTACCACTGTGTATATATTTCATGCTACCCCAAATCTCTGCCAAGCCGTAGCATAGCAAGATTCCAGGGAGTTCCATGTGCTTACCCAGGGTTGAGTTTCCATTGGAAAACCGAGGCACAGTGGCGACTAGTGTCTTTAAGAAATATGGTTTATTTTACACATATTTACACCTAAAGGCTTCAGTGGGGGGAGTGCAAAACAATACACTGCAAGAGTATAGCTGTGCTCTCATAGCTTGGGTTGAAAGTAGCAGTAAGTCATGGCCCCTGGTCTCTGGTGCAGTCTCCACCAGCCAGTGCTGTATGGAGTTCCACCCATTTCCTCCTCCTTGTTCCCTGAACGCATTGCAAAATGAAATATCTTCTGCCTGCTCGCCCCCCTTCTCCCATACCCTCCAACATTGATGAAAATAGGGACATCCCATTCCATGATGATTATTTTACTATTTATACCCCACACATCTTACTGGGACACACGGACACACACACAAACATTAAACATTTAAAAAACTTCCCTATGCAGGATTGCCTTCAGACCACTTGGAGGTTGGATAACTCCATACCCTCCAACATTTTTCCAATGAAAATAGGGACAACCTAAGGAAAAGCGGACGCGGGTGGTGCTGTGGTCCAAACCACTGAGCCTAGGGCTTGCTGATCAGAAGGTCGGTGGTTCGAATCCCCGCGACGGGGTGAGCTCCCGTTGCTCAGTCCCTGCTCCTGCCAACCTAGCAGTTCGAAAGCACGTCAAAGTGCAAGTAGATAAATAGGTACCACTGTGGCGGGAAGGTAAACGGCGTTTCTGTATGCTGCTCTGGTTCGCCAGAAGCGGCTTAGTCAGGCTGGCCACATGACCCAGAAGCTGTACGCCAGCTCCCTCGGCCAATAAAGCGAGATGAGTGCTGCAACCCCAGAGTCGGCCATGACTGGACCTAATGGTCGGGGTCCCTTTACCTTTTACGGAAAAGCAGGACATTCTGGGATCAAATCAGAAACCGAAATGACCCTGGAAAATAGGGACATTTGGAGGGTCTGTTCTCTAGACCCTTTTCTCAAAAAGGGCAGATTTACTCCATGTGTCTTCATATTTCCTGTAACCTCCTGCCCTGGAAATGGTTGCCATTGATGTGTTAATGACTTGCTTCCAGCACCTTTTCACATTCTTAGCAGCTTCTATTGCAGTTGAGGCCCTGGCCTGGCATCTTCTCTTCTACTAATTTCTACTCCTTTATTAATTTTGAACAATTACTAACTCTAGAAGTTATGAGAGCCCTTGCACCGACAAAGTCTGTTACTCCAGATTTGTAACAATATTATTATTGTGTGTGTTGCTTATAGCTACTGGACGAAGGAGGCATCTCTCTGAACCAATCAAAACAGGAAGCTGAGCTAATAAAACAGTTTATTACAATAAGCTCTGGAACAGGCTTCCTCAACCTCGGCCCTTCAGATGTTTTGAGACTACAATTCCCATCATCCCTGACCACTGGTCCTGCTAGCTAGGGATCATGGGAGTTGTAGGCCAAAACCATCTGGAGGGCCTAGGTTGAGGAAGCCTGCTCTGGAACTTGTGTTCCTTCTTCTCTAGTGTATGTTGCAACATGACCTAGAACACTGTGTAGCACTCCCCTTCTGACTGATTAATGGGCACCAAATTCTCTTGGCAGTGAAGCAGAAGCTCGTAAACTCATTTTAGTAAAGCCAAGGGGAGCTACAGCTCACGTGTAGACAAGAGACAAACAGAGCAGGGACTTTTCCATTGCCTCCTCCAGAAGAATTCACTCTTTGTCAATCCATACTTTATTTTATTGTTTATTGAATACATTTATAAGTCATTTTTTTCTAGAGGAAACTCTTTTTAAAAAATACAATATTACTACATCATCAGATATGAATGTATTAACTTTTAAAACATCTGAAATTGCTAATAATTTCTAACCCAAACATGCATTTGGGGGAGCACATCTTAATTTCTTACCCATATATTTGTATGGTGGCAATTTTCCTGCTGTGACCCACTGTGGGTCAGAAACCTGCATCAGTGCTCTGGCCCAGCCTATGCCTGTTCCTCTTCAGACGTTTTCCTTTTCCCACTTCAGCATTTTCAGAAGTTAAGGGTCAAATTTAAATGTGCATACATTAAGAAATGAATTAGCGTATTCAAATGCAATGGCCAGGAGTGCAGTCTTGACTTTCTTTCGGTGCAATAAGTGGTCCCTGGGCTCAGTTCTGGTATCCCCAAAGGTACCATTTAGCTCCAAGTTATCAGACCAGATCCATTAGAGAGAGGCAGATTATAAAATCAAAGAACTGTAGAGTTGGACGGGATCCCAAGGGTCATCTATTTCAACCCTCTGCAGGAATGCAGGAATCTCAACTAGATCATCCATGACAGATGACCATTCAACTTCTGCTTAAAAACCTCCAAGGAAGGAGAGTCCACAACCTCCCAAGGGAGACCGTTCCACTGTCAAAGGAGCTCATACTGCCCCCCCCCTAAATCAATAAAAATCAATAAAAAATACATAGCTGAGGTTCTGCCTCCCCTAACAAAAGGCCTGCCCCCCTAACAAAAATCCTGGCTACACCCATGGAGGAAGGATGAAGCTCATGTTTTGGGTTCAAATTAGTATCTCCTTTCTTTGACTATAACAATCTTCTCCTCTCTTTTGACCCAAATGGTAGATGGCAAAGCAATATGGAAACATTTACACCCTTTGGGTAGGGCATCTGCCCTTTGTAGTGCTGTCTGGATTCCGAGCAGTGGAAGAAGCGCTCGTTGACCACTCTGAATATTTTGAAGACCGACCACGTACTCCTTTCCTTATGACTGTAGGAAAAGGAAAGGGTAAGTAGTGAAATGTGAGAATTTCCACTGGTATTTTCCCCAGGGAAAACATTTAAAGGGCTGTCTGGAAAAACAGAACAATAGAGCTTCTCTGTTAATGTTGCACTCAACAGGAAATGGGTTGTAGACAATACTAGTTCTATTCGAAGTAGACCCACTGAAATTAATTGGCATGACCAATGTAGGTTTATTAATTTCAGTGGGTCTATTCTAACATTGTTGAATACAACCCAGTGCCTCTAGCAAGTGCTCTCTGGAAGTAGCAATTGTAGTGCACTGTGGTAAGAGTCAGCTGCAGGCAGAAGTTTGTTGCCTGATGCCATTTTAATGCATTTACTGGCCTGGATCTCAGTGCTGGATGAAGAACTTGAATTCCTCGCTCTTTCTACCCAAGTCTTTGATGCCTACATCAGACTGGTGCATTGCCAAGGCACAGGTTACAAGGTGTAGCAGGTATATAAGAGGTAAAGACACCTGGCTAAGTGCTAGCTAAGATGTTGATCTAACATCCCACACAGCTTTTATTGCAGTAAGTGAGCAGAGTTCCTAGGTTGGGGAGCAAGCCAGCACTCCTTTGAGCATGTTGGACTTGCAAGGTTAGTTCTCTGTGCCCTTGGAGATGGAGGCAGTGTTGGTGCCAGTTTGGCACCCAATTCACTCTCAGTCCCTTTGCCAGGATGAGGGAACTGCCCAACTGGCTTTTGCTGTGTCCAGAATATGTTGCAGAATACACACCTTCAATAAAACACCAGTCTGGTGGCGCCAGTAGAAAAATAACTTATTGACATCACACACCAGTGAAATTATATCCTTAAAAACAGTGTGGAAAACTTAGCTGAAATGGGTTTTTGACTGAAGTTTACTGCTGGTGTTTAACATTCTATGAAAGCTCAAGTGATACCTTCAAGTTCAGTGTTCATTGCAGAAATTTGTTGCTTAGTGTCAGGGGACTGCCATCGAAAGCGGGGAGGGAGGCAGAAACGTACAGGGAGCCTCCGACTTTGCTCAGCAGTAACACCTCATCAGAGACTGGTGAGAGCGAAGCCTCAGGCGAAACAGAGGAAGAAAGGAGGGGGGAAGTGAGGCAAAGGCTCACAGAGGTTACTGCGAGCCCTAGCACCACTGCCAGGCAGGCTGATAGGGAAACAGACATGCAGCTTCTGTAATTTTCGCAAGGGAGTCAAACGTAAGGAAAGGAGGAGGAGACTGGGGGTGTCAAGGTTCTTAAGCTGGGGAGGGGACAGAAAGAACCCACTCTCGGAATCTGCTAGTGACTGAGGCAGACATGAACTTTGGGCTTCTGCACTGTATATAAAGGTAAAGGTAAAGGGACCCCTGACCATTAGGTCCAGTCGTGACCGACTCTGGGGTTGCGGCGCTCATCTTGCTTTATTGGCCAAGGGAGCCGGCGTACAGCTTCCGGGTCATGTGGCCAGCATGACTAAGCCGCTTCTGGCGAACCAGAGCAGCGCACGGAAACGCCGTTTACCTTCCTGCCGGAGCGGTACCTATTTATCTACTTGCACTTTGATGTGCTTTCGAACTGCTAGGTTTGCAGGAGCAGGGACCAAGCAACAGGAGCTCACCCCGTCACGGGGATTTGAACCACCGACCTTCTGATCGGAAAGTCCTAGGCTCTGTGGTTTAACCCACAGCGCTACCCGCGTCACCAGCGCCACTGTATATAAGGTAAAGGTAAAGGTACCCCTGCCCATACGGGCCAGTCTTGACAGACTCTAGGGTTGTGCGCCCATCTCACTCTATAGGCCGGGGGCCAGCGCTGTCCGCAGACACTTCCGGGTCACGTGGCCAGCGTGACAAGCTGCATCTGGCGAGCCAGCGCAGCACATGGAACGCCGTTTACCTTCCCGCTAGTAAGCGGTCCCTATTTATCTACTTGCACCCGGGGGTGCTTTCGAACTGCTAGGTTGGCAGGCGCTGGGACCGAGCGACAGGAGCGCACCCCGCCGCGGGGATTCGAACCGCCGACCTTTCGATCGGCAAGTCCTAGGCGCTGAGGCTTTAACCCACAGCGCCACCCGCGTCCCTGTATATAGTTTGCACCTAATAAAACCTGTAAAAAGGCAGGTCGGAGTCCTGGCTGTTTACTCATGAGCAACCATATGCATCCCTGACACTTAGCTCTTCCTGCAGGTGGGCGGCTGTTGCACCCTCTCTCACTCGGTTGCCATCCCTGGGCAGTGAGGATGGAGTGCACATGGCCGGGCGGCTGTTGGGGGAATTCTCACTGGCCTCCTTGAGCAGCTGGCTCAAGTTCCCACCAGCTGCTGCACTTCAAATTGGCCAGTAAGTGGCCTCTTTTGGGGGGATGCCCCTCGCTGGCTGAAATGGCATTGGCTGTGGCCTCACAGCTAGCGAGGCAGAAAAGCTGGCAGCACCATCCTGCCTCAGTACAGTCAGACAAGGAGCAAAACTCTCCCCTCCTCCCTTGTCATTAACCTTTCTTATTTTTCAGGTCATTTTGGGGTTTTAAAATGTTTTCTGCTTTTCAGGTTGCTGCTTTAACAATGTTCTATTCCCTTCATTCACTGTTTAACCTTATTTTGCTTCCCGTATATCTCCTGACCTTACTACGGTTGCAAATGGTTGCAAATGCCATATTAAGGGCTGGGAAGGAATTTCCCTGTAAACAAATTGGCTGGTGTAGAGGTTTTGCCTTCCCCATAGCAACAGTTAAGGTATTGGGTGGAATCCTGGTCTTCAAGTGTGGGGTGCATCACCCAGTAGTGATCCTGCACCATTTTCAGCGTACCCTGTTAAAGTGGTCTTGGTGGATGTCTCTGTCCTGAAGCCAAGCATGGGGAAGTTGAGCCATAGGGCTTCCAGCGGTGGCCTTAGGATGGTCAACGTCTTGAAGAGGCCATAATCCTGGCATGGATTACAGATTACATCTGTAATCAAAAAGGTTGTGGGCATTTTTAATCCAGATCGTTGTTTGTTTGAGTTATTAATCATATACATATACATTACATGTAGACATTGACCCAGAAGTGGGTGGCACTCTGGCTGGGCCCACAATTACCAGTGTATCAGATACCAGTTTTCCCTACAAAAGTCAAATTTTGAAGTGCTTTCCAGAGATCTCGCTTTTCGCTGACACATTAGTGCAGGATCTTCTGAGACAATTAGATTTCTGTTTGATTATCACATCCAACTCCTTTGATAGCCATGCTAGGAATAATAGGTGAATCAAATCAAGTTTATCTCATTGGGAGATGCTGACATATTTGTTGGTAAATGTTTGCTTAGAAAAGGCTGAATGTTAGCACTATTCAACAGGGCTCTCAATAGACTCATGGTATGCTCAGGTGTGGTCTATTGCTTTGGCCAAGAAACTGACCTGTCAGGTCAGGGTGGCCAGAAGCAAGTTAAGTCCTTTATCCTTCTACAACACTTGGCATCCATTCGTCTCCCAAATGAGAAGTGAAATTTTTTTCCTTCCAGGGAAAGATGGAAACTTGTCAACATTACACATCAGTTAAATTATATCCTTAAAAACTGTGGGGGGTGTCTGCTGGGGTTTAAAGTTGTAAGAAAGCTCATGTGATACTTGCAAGTTCAGTCTTTGTTGCAGAAATTACCAGCATATTAGGTACCAGTTTTCCCCACAAGAGTCAAAATTGATAGAGACGTCCAGAGATCTCACTTTTTGCTGGTACTGCAAAGTGGAGGAACTTCTGAAACAATGAGACTAGCACACAAATTGAGACAGCTAAAACTTGGGAGTGAACCAATGATGAACTTCTAAATGATGAAAGGCAATGGAAAGTGATGTTCTGGTGGGAATTATGTAAAATAAACAATGCTGGCCTATATTGGAGAGATACTCATGCATTAAATTGAGACGGAGTCAGAATCAACTAGTAATTCTTTGCATTACAGAGACTAAGCAGATCTTGCATGCAAAGGCATGAACTTCAGTTCTGGGCTAGGAACTTAATTTTTAACACTAATTTCTGAGAGCAATAATTTGTCACTGGTTTTTCTTTTTTTCTTCTTTTTAATAAATTTTATTTTCAATGCAAAATTACAACAAAAATTACAAACATTGAATCCAAAATGAAACTATACAAACAAGAAAGAAAAACAGAACACAAAAGAAAAAGAAAAAAAGCACACATCTACAAATAAAACCATATCTTCATTGTAATCTAGTCATTACATACATATACACATATTGACTTCCTTCCTTTGTTCTAAGACCTCAAAAGTTTTACTCTTTCTAAATTGTTGTGTCTAATGTAGATTACCTCTATCTTTATACTTTTTACACCATTTTTCTTTTTCTTTAACCCTGCAAAGCATCATTCATTACATGCCGATATGCTTACTCCAGAACAATGTTTTTTCATATACTCGTTAGCACATCCCCATTCTTTTAATAATTTCTGGTCCGATTGTCCCCTTATGAATGCTGTGAGTCTTGCCAGATTTATATATTCACAAAATTTAATTTGCCATTCTTTCATTGATGTAATTTTTCTCCCTTTCCAATTTTTTGCTATAAGCATCCAGGCAGCTGTCGTTGCATAAAGGAATACTTTCCTCTGATTGTCAGGAATATCATGTGTGATTATACCTAAAAGGAATTCCTCCGGTTTTTTACTAAAAGATATTTTTTATTTCTTCATATGTTTCATTCCAAAATTGTTTAATAGGTCAGCATTCCCACCACATATGAAACATTGTTCCTATTTCTTTCTTGCATCTCCAACAGGTATTTGATTTTAATTTGTAAATTTTAGCCAATTTTACCGGAGTTAAGTACCATTGGTACACCATTTTCATCAAATTTTCTCTGATTGTGTAAAATGTCGTAAATTTAATATCACATTTCCATAATTTCTCCCATTGGTCCAGCCAAATTGTGTAATCTATATCGCATGCCCATTTAGTCATAACTTTGTTTACTTCTTCATCCTTTAACTCCCATTCTAATAATAAATTATACATTTTGGATATACTATTTTTCGAGTTTTGTAATAATACTTTTTGTAATTTTTATTCTTCTTTTTCAAATCCTATTGCTTTATCCTGATTAAATATTTGAGCAATTTGATGATAATGTAACCATGTGGTGCAGTATTGGGTCACCACTTCGTATGGTCTTAATTTTAATTGGCCCTGTTCCTCCTTTAGGAGCTGCTGGTATGTCGCCAATCTTCCTATCGTATTTTTCTTTTTAACCGATATTACTTCTAACGGTGAAACCCACCATGGGGTTTTCGGTTCTAACAACAATCTATGTCTCACCCAGACCTTATATAACAAATTTCTAATTACATGACTTATAAAGTCTTTATGCACCGCCACTTTGTTGTAAATTAGATAGGCATGCCAACCGTATCTGTTGTTCCATCCCTCCAAGTCTAAAATGTCATTATTATCTAATGTAATCCAGTCTCTGATCCAACTAAAGCATGCCGCATCGTAGTATATTCTCAGGTCTGGGAGTCCAAAGCCACCCCGCTCTTTTATGTCAGTTAATAATTTATGTTTGATCCATGGCTTTTTGCCTTGCCTTATAAATTTTGTTAGATCCGTTTTCCATTTTTAAAAACAATCATCTTTACCTATTATGGGGATCATTTGAAAAAGGAACAGGAATTTTGGTAAGATATTCATTTTAATAGCCGAAATTCTACCCCAGTGTTAAGTTCAATCTTGTCCAAATTTGCATTTCTCTTTTTATTTCTTCCCAATTTTTTTTATAATTATCTTCAAACAAATTTATATTTTTCATTGTTATTTGAATTCCTAAATATTTCACATTTTTTAAAATTTGTAATCCAAATTTTTCTACCAGTTCCTTTTTCTCTTGGTCTCCCATGTTTTTTACCATTAGTTTCATTTTTTCTTTATTCAAAGCAAAGCCTGAAACCTTTCTGAAATTTTCCATTTTTCCTAGAGCCTTTGCTATGCTTTCCTTTGGGCTTTCCACCATTAACACTAAATCATCAGCAAATGCCCTTATTTTATATGTTTTCTCCCCTAAGGATATTCCATTTATTTCTTGGTCTAGTCTGATTTCTTGATTTAGTATTTCCAAAACCAAAATGAATAATAATGGTGAGTGCAGGCACCCTTGTCTGGTGCCCTTCTGTATTTTAAAATAATCAGTCATGTCCTTATTATTATTATATTTGCTTCTTGTTGTTCATAGATTGCTTTTAACCCTCTTGTAATTTGGTCTCCCATGTCCATCTGGTCTAATATTATTTTTAGCAATTTCCATGAAACTTTATCAAACGCCTTTTCCGCATCCACAAATACAAAGGCTACCTTCTTATTCGGTTTCATGTCTAAATACTCGATCATATCAATCACTGTTCTCATATTATCATTCATTTTTCTGCCTGGCAAGAACCCTGCCTGCTCTTTGTTTATACAATCCTGCAAAACTGTTTTTAATCTTGTTGCCAATATTTGTGCATAAATCTTGTAGTTATTATTAAGTAATAATAATATTTATATTGGTCTATATTTATATTTATATTGGTCTATAATTGGTCTATATTGGTCTATAATTGGTATATTGGTCTATAATTGGTCTATATTGGTCTATATTTATATTGGTCTATAATTGGTTATGAACTCCTTATTTTGTCCTTGTTTTGGGATTACTACTATATGAGCCTGCTTCCAGGTATTGGGAATCTTCCCGTCTTCTAGTATTCTATTTAAAAGTATCTTCATAGGTGATAATAGTGATTCCATCCGGGCCTGTGGATTTTCCCAATTTCATCTTAATTATTGCTTGATGTAGCTCTGTCATGGTTATTGGAGAGTTTAGGTCTTGAATCTTTTCTTTCTTAATTTTAGGTATATCCTTTCCACATAAATACTCTTTTATTTCATCCTCTGTCTCAGTTCCTGCTTTATATAGCTTATTACAATATTTTATAAAGCACTTTTTAACTTCCTCGGGATTATCTAAAGTTCTCCCTTCTTCCACTATTGTCACTGGTTTTTCATAGGCATTATATTATCAAATGGTCACACCTGGAGGCAACAGAGACGGTTTGGTATTGTTACTATGCGGAAGCTAGGACTGGGGAGGAAAGGCATGGAGCACCAAATAGAAGAGGAAGCCCATCAGCTCGTGAAAGTCTTTGCACGTTCAAAGGGTATGTGATGATAGGTGACGGTGCTGGGTTGGCATATGTCTGAAGAAACCTTTGTGTATAACCTCTGTACATTTTGGAAAGGAATGCGATATGTTTTGTTTGATTCCTAATGAGCCTTAAATGGAATGCTATCATTATATATCTTTAAGTGCCAAGAAAAAATGTTCCTCTTCAAACAGCTGTTTGGCTGATTAATATTCTACAGCCTTTTAAATGTGCTTATGGAATGTTTTGTTATTTTGTTTTAACTATTTACCTGGGTTTTTATCTTGTATTTTTACTCTGTGAAACACCCTAGAATCTTGTGATGAAGGGTGGTATATAAACCAACCAATCAATTAATTAATTAATTAATTAATTAATTAATTAATTAATGTTAATAAACAAATTGCTGGAGATCCCTACAGTTTCTCTTGTCCACTATAAAATACCATTCTCCGTATGAAAAGGAGTGGCTGAACTCACATTAGTATAACTTTATTTTGCAGGTCAACCACTTGACCCCTCCATGCCCATCACTAATTCAGCCTCCAACGTGATATGTGCTGTGGCTTTTGGGCACCTGTTTGCTCTTGAAGATAAAAGGTTCCAGAAGCTGATAGAAGCCATGAATTTTCTCCTAAAATATCTGTGTAGCTTTGCTCATTTTGTGAGTTGTCATTTTCATTCCTACTGAGCCTGACAGGTCTCCCAAGTGCCTTAAATCCCTCAATCAGCATTCTGGAATCCATTACGATAGAAGTTAGAGCGTTGGAAAACTGAGTTCAGGTTTAAATCTAATCTGAGATAAGGGCTATTTACGATCTCATAGCGTAAATAATTTCTCAAGATTATTATAAAAATTGAAATAAAGAATAAGGAGACTATGTCCAACCACAAGGGACTCTTTGGAGAAAAAATTGGATAAAAATGGAACAATAACCTTTCAGAACAAGTTGTCTAGAGCCCACCTTAAGTAAAAATCAGTGAACAAAATAATCTTCTCAAGAAGAGAATTCTACAATTTTATTGTCATTATGGAAAAATAAATGTGTCTATTCTTTGCTCACTGTATATCAAGGCTTATAGGACTTGATTGATGAGCATATGTCTTGGCAGCCATACAGTGGTGCCCCGCAAGACGAATGCCTCGCAAGACGGAAAACCCGCTAGACGAAATGGTTTTCCGTTTCTGAGTTGCTTCGCAAGACGATTTTCCCTATGGGCTTGCTTCGCAAGACGAAAACGTCTTGCGAGTCTTGCGATTTTTTTTCGCTCCCCCCCCTTTTTTCTAAGCCGCTAAGCTGCTAATAGCCTTTTAGCAGCTTAGGCGCTAAGCCTTTAATAGCCGCTAAACCGCTAATAGCGCTAAGCTGCTAAGCCGCTAATAGGGTTGCTTCGCAAGACTAAAAAACCGCTAGACAAAGAGAATCGCGGAACGGATTCTTTTCGTCTTGCGAGGCACCACTGTATTTTGGACCAATTTAAGATCCCGGGCTATCTTCAAGTTTTAAGAAAGACAAATATTATTGGGGGCAGGGACCTACTATGGCACATTGACTTGCCAGACATCCAAATGAGCACTGAGCATACACAGACCAGGGCATGTTGGTGATATAATTTGGAAATGCAAGGAGAGCATGGCTGGCTGGCTAGATCCACAAACTCCACATGGCTACATTTTGCTGAGGGTGTGAAGGTTGTCTGCCTGGAATATACAATGGCAGTATTTGAACCTTTGTGCCGTAAATATTTATGCATCTCTAAATTTTGGAATTCATGCATCTCTAAATTTCCGGCCACGTGACCTGGAAGCTGTACACTGGCTCCCTCAGCCAATAAAGCCGCAACCCCAGAGTCGGCCACAACTGGACCTAATGGTCAGGGGTCCCTTTACCTTTACCTAAATTTTGGGAACATCACTAGTAAGTTTCAGGAGAGCCATAAATGCCCATGTTTGAATAGTGCTACCATAACTGTTGAAGAGTTCAACTCTAAACCCAACAGAGGTGCATTGATTTTCCCAACGGGGAGGGGCAAATCAATCTCCCGATTTGTATTGCAAGCAGGGGAGCTGCAACTTAGCAGTGTCAGTCATTATGGCGCCTATGGTGTAGCCCCTTTGCTGGATTTTTTAAAAAATGAAACAGAGGTCTGCAACTCAAGCATTCCCTGCACTGCTAAGGAAAGCAGCCCCCTTCTGTATGACCTCAGCTAAACCCTTTTGACCTGAGGGGGATGGGTGGCCAATTTCAGTTTCTCTTAGTTTCTCATTTTTCCTATCTTAAAATTGGTTCTCCACATTTCTACATCAATTTCTGATATGTTTTTTTAAAAAAATTCTCATGAAATTTCATCAGCATTTTGGTGCTGATTTCTCCTAATGCACACATTTGTATGCAATTTTGCAAAGTTGCAAATTGCAGGTTTGAATGTTATTAGAGCATCTTAAGCATCTGCAGTCCCACTATGTGCTCTGACATACGGAGCAAGGACATGTTCTATGAAGAACTAGAGCAGGCTGTCAGGAGAGGGAGCTTGCTATTGCTGCAAAGGGTGAGGTTCACATTTGTGAACTACAAATTTGTGCCTTATGAGAAGATGTTTCCTGCACTGAGAAAGGCAAGGATCAGATGATGTGTCAATGACTACTCGCTAAAGCTACATCAAACATTCAACTCACTGCTGACAGTGAAAAATGTATGAAGGCATGAAGACAGCCTTTGGACCAACAGCCAGGAAAACTGCGCCACTGAAAACCTTGTCTGGAGACACAGCAGCAAGCAGATGAAGTGATGCTATTATCATTATCATGAATTGTGCTATGGGAAAACATGGTCTCAAACACATTGACAGTATCCAGTCTTTGCCTCTCTTTGAAGTGCTGAATGTCCCTCTCTCCCTTGACAAGCTGAATAACACCTTCAACTCTCAAGCATGTGGTACAATCCCAGGACAGGATGGAATCCCAACGGAAGTGCTGAAAGCTGGTCTCAATTCCTCCCTCATGATAATAATAATGATTTATTATTTATACCCCGCCCATCTGGCTGGGTTTCCCCAGCCACTCTGGGCGGCTCCCAATCAAATATTAAAAACACATTACAGCATTAAACATTAAAAACTTCCCTAAACAGGGCTGCCTTCAGATGTCCTTTAAAAGTAGGATAGTTGCTTATTTCCTTTGACATCTGATGGGAGGGTGTTCCACAGGGCAGGCGCCACTACCGAGAAGGCCTTCTGCCTGGTTCCCTGTAACCTCGCAGTGAGGGAACCGCCAGAAGGCCCTCAGTGCTGGATCTCAGTGTCCGGGCTGAACAATGGGGGTGGAGACGCTCCTTCAGGTATACAGGACTGAGGCTGTTTAGGGCTTTCAAGGTCAGCACCAACACTTTGAATTGTGGTTGGAAACGTACTGGGAGCCAATGCAGGTCTTTCAAGACCAGTGTTATATGGTCCCGGTGGCCACTCCCAGTCACCAGTCTAGCTGCCGCATTCTGGATTAATTTTAGTTTCGAGTCACCTTCAAAGGTAACCCCATGTACAATGCATTGCAGTAGTCCATGCACCACTCTTGCGAGACACTCCGTGGGCAGGTAGGGTCTCAGCCTGCGTACCAGATGGAGCTGGTAGACAGCTGCCCTGGACACAGAATTGACCTGCACTTCCATGGACAGCTGTGAGTCCAAAATGACTCCCAGGCTGCACACCTGGTCCTTCAGGGGTACAGTTACCCCATTCAGGACCAGGGAGTCCTCCACACCAGCCAACCCCCTGTCCCCCAAAAACAGTACTTCCGTCTTGTCAGGATTCAACCTCAATCTGTTAGCCACCATGATGCACTTTCATGGGTTCGTCTTGCAGTGTTGGAGGAAATAATCCATGCCACAAGACATGTGTGACCTGTTTATCGTGGAGCTATCATGGAATCACCCTGTGGTTCTCAACAAATTACAGTGACTCGCTGACAGGGTCTATCCCCAATTGCAATGTGGCTTTAGAGCACAGAGGTCAACAGTCAACATGATTTTCTCTCTGTGCTCCCCTCTGCAGGAGAAATACTGAGAGCGGAGATGTCCCTTGAACATCGCTAATCCAAAGCATGAACCATGTGACCAAATTTTCTCTATCTTTCCTTTAGCTGTATGAAATGTTCCCATGGCTTATGAAACATGTACCAGGGCCTCACCAGAAGGCCTTGTACTGCCTGAAGGCAATGCTTTCATTTGCAAAGGAGGAGATAGAGAAGCATAAGGAGAATCTATCTCTGCATGAGCCACAAGATTTCATTGATTTCTATCTACTTCAGATGGAGAAAGTAAGTATCGATTTTGCAACTGAATACTGCTCAACCCATTATATTCCCTGTTACATGTGAATACTAATCTGTTGCCAGGAAACCAACATTTTTTCCTGAATCTCAGCTGGAAACCACCTTGAGCTTTCCCCAAATTTCTTTCACAGTTTTTTAGTTGCTAAAGTGGGTGAACATCCATCTATTGAAGCATCGATTGAAATGGCTAGGAAAAGGCAGATATTTTCATAACCCCAAATATGAGTGGGAATGAGTGGGAGTTCATGAGTGTTGAGGGGTCTTCCCTATGGAGCATTGCTTCTGTACATAAATTATTTTGTATTGTTGTTCATCTCACATTCAGACATGGACTGAGAAAACAGAAAAGCACTGCTTGTTGGTTCAAAGCACTGCTTGTTGGTTCACCAATCTACCCAGTGGACACAATCTGTGGCTTACACATCTGGCCAATTTTTTGTATGCCATCCCAGGCACCTCCAGTTAACAGCGATCAAATTATACCGCTCCTGGGGGCAGATCCAGGGGCAAAGGAAGGCTGTCTGGCACCCAGTGTGGGGTGTCAAGGGGCGGGGCAAACCACCCACAGGGGCAGGGCAAACCACCCAGCTGAGCATGTGCAGCGCCACTAGGTGTGGCACATGTGCAGCGCCACTACATACAGTGGCGCCGCGTGTGCGCCATATGGACAGCAGAGGGATCCTCCGCATATGGTGGTGGTGCGATGGCAGCGGCTCATGCCACCACGCCCGGGGGTGGCAGGGTGAACCCCCTGCGGGGTGCCTTCTTGTCATCCCCCTCAGAGATGGCACCCTAGGTGGACTGCCCCCAAATCACTGGTAGCATGGATCTGCCAACCTAGCAGTTCGAAAGCACGTCAAAGTGCAAGTAGATAAATAGGTACCGCTCCGGAGGGAAGGTAAACGGCGTTTCCGTGCGCTGCTCTGGTTCGCCAGAAGCGGCTTAATCATGCTGGCAACATGACCTGGAAGCTGTACGCCGGCTCCCTCGGCCAGTAAAGCGAGATGAGTGCCGCAACCCCAGAGTCGGTCACGACTGGACCTAATCAAACTGGGCAGTTTGATCCATATTTTAGATTTAGGGGAGCTAGTCTCAAACATTTGTTGGGGGAGACCTAGGTTTTTTGGGGGGATTTATTTGTCCTGTCTCCACACTTTTTATGATAGAGGACCACTGTAGTCACCCCCAACGACACGTTCTCAAGATGGAGGGTGAGGGAACAGCTGCAGTCGCCTGTGGTTCCTGCGCAATGTTTGCCATCTTGCCAAAGGTTGCAGGCAGCTTTACCTGCAGCAATTGCATGTTGATTGCCCTCTTAAAAGACAAAGTCCAGCAACTGGAGGAACGTGTAGCTACGCTCCAAAGAATTAGAGAGCTGGAACTCTTCTTGGAAGCAACAGAGCACACCGTCTCCACCAAGGAAGAGACAGGGGACTCCCCTGAGAAGGTGGCTAGTTCACCAACACAGGTGCCAGATATATGGAGAAACGTGACTCAAAGAAGTAGGAGGCCCAGGGTTCGCTCTGATTGTTTAGAAATACGCAATCGCTTTGAGGTCCTTTCCCCTAGCATGGAAGACGAAGAGCAGACTCCATTTGAGGATCTCTCCCTCATTACAGTCGATCAGGTATATGAAGACGAGCAGCAAAGGCAGTCCTCAGAGAATGTCCAGGCGACCTTGGAACGGACAGCTCACAGAAGAACCCCGACCAGACCTAAGAGGAGGCGTGTAGTGGTGATAGGGGATTCCCTACTGAGGGGAACAGAAGCAGTGATCTGTGGGCCTGACAAGATGTCTCGGGAAGTGTGCTGTCTCCCCGGGGCTAAGATCCAAGATGTAACTGAACGACTGCAAGGAATCATAAAACCCACTGACAAATACCCCTTCCTCTTGGTTCATGTGGGAACCAATGACACTGCAAGCAATAGCCTCCAGAAGATCAAAAGAGATTACGAGGCTCTGGGCAGGAAATTGAAGCAATTAAATGCACAAATTGTCATCTCATCTGTCCTCCCAGTTCAACGACGTGGCCCAGGGAGAGAGGGAAAAATAGTGGAAGTGAACAACTGGCTTCGCAAATGGTGTAAACAGGAACGGTTTGGATTCTTAGATCACGGAATGCAGTTTCTTGAAGATGGACTTCTGGCAAGCGATGGGCTGCACCTCACAACGGTTGGGAGGAATGTTTTTGCAAAAAATCTCAGAAACCTCATCAGGAGGGCTTTAAACTGACTAATGTGGGGGAGGGAGACAGTGCTCCTGAAGGTAGGAGTCTATCAATTGATGAAGATGATCATCCAAATGTCATAGACCGAATGGAGCAAAGAGCATGCAGACCTAGTGGTGGGAGGAAAAAATCCTTAAATAAGAGACACGGGGGAATGATTAATGGACTTCAATGTCTGTACACTAATGCGCAAAGCATGGGAAATAAACAAGATGAGCTTGAGCTCCTGGTACAGCAAACTAAATATGACATAATAGGAATCACTGAAACCTGGTGGGATAAATCCCACGATTGGAATGTAATAATGGAGGGATACAATCTATTTCAAAGAAACAGACCAGACAAGAAAGGAGGAGGAGTGGCGTTATATGTCAGGGATGTGTATACCTGTGAAGAGATCCAAGATTTAGAACCTCAAAGCCAAAGTGAGAGCATTTGGGTCAAAATTAAGGGAGAGAAGAATAACAGTGACCTCATTGTGGGAGTTTACTATAGATCCCCAAGCCAAACGGAGGACATAGATGATGCCTTCCTGGAACAGATGGCCAAGCATGCAAAAGGAAGGGAGATAGTAGTAATGGGGGACTTCAATTACCCAGATATTTGTTGGATGTCAAACTCAGCCAAGAGCATAAGGTCAAACAGATTCCTCACTGCCCTTGCAGACAACTTCATTGTCCAGAAAGTGGGAGAAGCAACAAGAGGAACAGCCATTTTAGATCTGGTCCTAACCAATGTTGATGACCTGGTTAGTGGGGTAGAAGTGGAAGGATCATTAGGCGCGAGTGATCATGCTCTTCTGAAGTTTACTATACAGCGGAAAGGAGCAGCCAAGCATACTAGGACTCAATTTCTCGACTTTAAGAAAGCCGACTTCATAAAGCTTAGGGAAGTGCTGGGTGAGATCCCATGGACAGTAATACTAAAAGGAAAGGGAGTTCAAGATGGCTGGGAGTTTGTTAAGAGGGAGATAGTAAAAGCACAACTTCAGGCAATACCAATGAGACGGAAACATGGAAGGTGCCTAAAGAAGCCAGGGTGGCTATCTAAAGAACTTTTAACTGAGTTAAGATTAAAAAAGGATGTGTACAAAAAATGGAAAAGGGGGGAAACCACCAAAGAGGAATTCAAACAAATAGCCAGCACGTGTAGACACAAAGTCAGAAAAGCTAAAGCACAAAATGAACTCAGGCTTGCTAGAGAGGTTAAAAGCAACAAAAAAGGCTTTTATGGGTATGTTCGTAGCAAAAGGAAGAACAAAGAAACCGTGGGGTCACTCAGAGGAGAAGATGGTGAAATGCAAACAGGGGACACAGAAAGGGCTGAACTACTCAATGCTTTCTTTGCCTCAGTCTTCTCCGATAAAGAAAACAATGCCCGACCTGAAGAATTTGGAGCAAATGATTCAGCAGAGGAAACACAGCCCAGAATAACTAAGGAGATAGTACAAGAATACTTGGCTAGTCTAGATGTATTCAAGTCTCCAGGGCCAGATGAACTGCATCCAAGAGTATTAAAAGAACTGGCAGATGTGATTTCAGAACCACTGGCAGTCATCTTTGAGAATTCCTGGAGAACAGGCGAAGTCCCGGCAGACTGGAGGAGGGCAAATGTTGTCCCTATTTTCAAAAAGGGGAAAGAGAGGACCCAAATAATTACCGCCCAGTCAGTCTGACATCAATACCAGGGAAGATTCTGGAGCAGATCATTAAGCAAACAGTCTGTGAGCACCTAGAAAGGAATGCTGTGATCACCAATAGTCAGCATGGATTTCTGAAAAATAAGTCATGTCAGACTAACCTGATCTCGTTTTTTGACAGAATTACAAGCCTGGTAGATGAAGGGAACGCAGTGGATGTAGTCTACCTTGATTTCAGCAAGGCATTTGACAAGGTGCCCCATGATATTCTTGTAAAGAAGCTGGTAAAATGCGGTCTTGACTATGCTACCACTCAGTGGATTTGTAACTGGCTGACTGACCGAACCCAAAGGGTGCTCATCAATGGTTCCTCTTCATCCTGGAGAAGAGTGACTAGTGGGGTGCCACAGGGTTCTGTCTTGGGCCCGGTCTTATTCAACATCTTTATCAACGACTTGGATGATGGACTCAAGGGCATCCTGATCAAATTTGCAGATGACACCAAACTGGGAGGGGTGGCTAACACCCCAGAGGACAGGATCACACTTCAAAACGACCTTGACAGATTAGAGAACTGGGCCAAAACAAACAAGATGAATTTTAACAGGGAGAAATGTAAAGTATTGCACTTGGGCAAAAAAAATGAGAGGCACAAATACAAGATGGGGGACACCTGGCTTGAGAGCAGTACATGTGAAAAGGATCTAGGAGTCTTGGTTGACCACAAACTTGACATGAGCCAACAATGTGACGCGGCAGCTAAAAAAGCCAATGCAATTCTGGGCCTCATCAATAGGAGTATAGCATCTAGATCAAGGGAAGTAATAGTGCCACTGTATTCTGCTCTGGTCAGACCTCACCTGGAGTACTGTGTCCAGTTCTGGGCACCACAGTTCAAGAAGGACACTGACAAACTCGAACGTGTCCAGAGGAGGGCAACCAAAATGGTCAAAGGCCTGGAAACGATGCCTTATGAGGAACGGCTAAGGGAGCTGGGCATGTTTAGCCTGGAGAAGAGGAGGTTAAGGGGTGATATGATAGCCATGTACAAATATATAAAAGGATGTCACATAGAGGAGGGAGAAAGGCTGTTTTCTGCTGCTCCAGAGAAGCGGACACAGAGCAATGGATCCAAACTACAAGAAAGAAGATTCCACCTAAACATTAGGAAGAACTTCCTGACAGTAAGAGCTGTTCGACAGTGGAATTTGCTGCCAAGGAGTGTGGTGGAGTCTCCTTCTTTGGAGGTCTTTAAGCAGAGGCTTGGCAACCATATGTCAGGAGTGCTCTGATGGTGTTTCCTGCTTGGCAGGGGGTTGGACTCGATGGCCCTTGTGGTCTCTTCCAACTCTATGATTCTATGATTCTATGATTCTAATGGTCAGGGGTCCCTTTACCTTTACCTTTAGTGCACATTTTGAATGTGTGCTGCCAGAGAGATTCCATTGGATCCCTCTCCTCCTGCCAGTGCTGGATTATTACCCCAACCCACAGATCCTCAAATGCAGCACCAGCAGCTACAACTGTGGTCACAGGAAGGTGTGCATAGATCTCTTGCCACAACCAACTATGAAGCACAGGGCCGGCCAGCCCATTAGGTGGGCTGAGGCAGCTGCCTTGGGTGGTGGAATGGCAAGAAGCAGGATCTTTCTATCCAGCTCACTTTGTGGGCACTGTTGTGCAATTCAGGTAAGGGGGGCAGCAGTGGCAGCAGGGCGGTGGTGGTGGCATCTTCCCATTTTGCAGCAAGCAGTGTAATGGGATGCCCTGCCCTTCATCAAGCATATGTTGGTGGCATTGTAGTAACTGGGTAAAAGAAGATAAAGTAAGTGCTGAAGGACAGATTGTAATGCATGTCAATGACTTGTCACTTTCCTCATTTTCAACATCAGAGCAGGAATGACCCAGAGTCCACCTATGATGAAGAAAACATGGCTTGGTGTATTTTTGACTTCTTTGTAGCAGGGTCAGACACAACCGTCAGTTCTCTGAAATGGGCGCTTCTCCTCCTGGCAAGTCATCCAGATATCCAAGGTGAGAGAGGGAACAATGGGAGCCTGGGCTTCTCTTGATCTCTAGAGTGGACCGTAATTATTTAAAGGTTTCATTCACATCTAATGAGATGATAAAACAAAGAACATAAAACATCAGAAAGAGTTAAAAGTAAGTGAGCTTATGATGGAAGTTTGGGGAGACAAAGTGTTATTGAAATAAGCTGAATGCTTTTGACATACATGTATGGCATCACAGAGTTCTATAGCCCTTGTGAGCATTAACCCTTTACATCGCATGCTGGATGCTTTCATGACACATTATTATATGAGGCCTTGAGAAACTTGGGACCAGGTTGCCTGAAACAGCCCCTGTAAGGTCTGTAACTCCTTCATGGATCACTGCCTTGTCATGGCAAAGGGGCTTGAATAACTCAGAGAAGCTATGAGCTATGTCTTGTAGTGCCAAAGAATGCTCCAACTACCGCACAATTGCGATCATTTCACACACTAGCATGGTTATGCTTAAAATTCTACAAGGCAGGCTTAAGCAGTATGTGGACTGAGAACTCCCAGAAGTGCAAGCTGGAGGAACCAGAGACCAGATTGCAAACATGCGCTGGATTATGGAGAAAGCTAGAGAGTTCCAGAAAAACATCTACGGTACTTCTCCTTCATTGACTATGCAAAAGCCTTTGACTGCGTGAACCACAGCAAAAACTATGGTAAGTTCTTAAAGAAATGGGAGTGCCTGATCACCTCATCTGTCTCCTGAGAAATCTCTATGTGGGACAAGAAGCTACAGTTAGAACTGGATATGGAACAACTGATTGGTTCAAAATTGGGAAAGGAGTACAACAAGGCTGTATATTGTCTCCCTGCTTATTTAATTTATATGCAGAATACATCATGCGAAAGGCTGGGATGGATGAATCCCTAGCCAGAATTAAGATTGCCGGAAGAAATATCAACAACCTCAGATGACAGATGACACAACCTTGATGGCAGAAAGTGAGGAGGAATTAAAGAACCTTTTTTTTTTTTTTTTAATTTTTTTTAACTTTTATTAATTTTTAAAAACACAATTCACATATTACAGACATTTACATATACATATACAAATACATGTTACAGACAAATACATATACAAATAAAGAGAAAAGAAGAAAAAAAGCAGAAACAAAAAATAGAAGAGACAAGCAAGACATATACAGTTACGAATAAACAAAAACTTCAGTCCAGCTTAGTCTTGGAATTACCAATTCTTATATTATTTCTGCAGTATTTCTAAAACAGTCTACTTCGATGATATTAGTTATCGTCTACTGATAAATTATTTATTCCCTGGATCGACTCAAAATAAATTAAAAATTTGTTCCATTCATCTTTATGTTTAACTGTGTAGTTTGGGCTTATTTTCCCTGTTAATCTCGCTAATTCGATATATTGATATAGCCTTATTTGCCAATCCCCGATTGTGGGTAGGTCCTGGGTTTTCCATTTTTGGGCGATTTGGATTCTTGCCGCGGCCATAGCATACTGAACAAAGGTTTGATCTATTTTCTTTATTTCTTTTCCAATCATGCCTAACAAAAACAGCTCGGGATTCTTGGGAAAATTATACTTCAAAATTTTTTTCAATTCCTCGTAGATTTGTGTCCAAAATTCCTTCACTATTTCGCAAGTCCACCAAGTATGAAAAAAAGTCCCGACCTTGTCCCTGCATCTCCAACATATATTATCCACACTTTTATACATCTTTGCTAGCTTTGCCGGAGTTAAATACCAGCGATATACCATTTTCTCTAGGTTTTCACGAAGGGCTACACAGGCTGTAAATTTTACACCTTTCATCCAGAGTGTCTGCCACTTGTTATACTCTATATTATAACCCAGATCTTTTTCCCATTTTAACATCGCTCCCTTCACCAGATCTTCTTTGGTGTCCCATTCTAATAATTGTTTATACATTTTCGACAGGATTTTGTCATTGCTTTCCAGAATTTCTACCTGAAACCTTGATTTTTTCTCACTCATCCCCACTCTCTTATGTTCCCCCCATAAGGCATTGATCTGGTGGAAACGTAACCATTCTTTTATTTTATTTTTCAATTCCTCATAGGGCTTCAACTTCCATCCTTCCTCAGTCTTCACCAGAAGGTCCTCATATGTGTATCTTTCCTCATTCATGTTAATTTTCTTTATTTCAGTTATTTCAGTTGGGGAGAGCCACCATGGAATACCTCTTTCAATCAGATTTCTGTACCTCTTCCACACTTCCAATAGTGGGCCTCTAATTATATGGCTGGAAAAGCCTCTGTGAATCTCCCCTTTTTCTTGCCAAAGATAGGCGTGCCACCCGAATCTAATATTAAATCCCTCCAGATCCAAGAGGTCTGTATTTCTAAGGGTGGCCCACTCCTTTAGCCAGCACAAACAGGCTGCTTCATAATAGAGCCTAATGTTCGGGACCGCGAATCCACACCTGTCTCTTGAGTCTGTTAGATATTTAAACTTAATTCTGGCTTTCTTCCCCTGCCAGATAAACCTGGACAGGGTTTTTTGCCAGTTCTTAAAGAGGGAGGTACCTTTAATTATCGGAATATTTTGAAACATGAATAACAATCTTGGCAAAATGCACATCTTAATTGCAGACATCCTCCCCGTCCATGAAAGTTTCAATCTATGCCAAGTGTCCATATCCTTTTTGATATCCTGCCAGACCTTACTATAATTATCCTCAATTAGATTTATATTTTTTGGTGAAAGCCAGATTCCTAAATATTTAACCTTGTTCACAATTTTAATACCGGTCTTTTCTTCCAATTGTATTTTGTCCTGTTCAGTCATATTTTTTACTAAGCTTTTTGTTTTATTCCTATTTAATTTGAAACCCGACAGTCTGCCAAAGTCCTCCAACAGTTCTACAACCCTGCTTGCACTGTCCACTGGACTCTCTACGGACAGGACCAGGTCGTCGGCATAGGCCTTGAGCTTGAATTCCTTCTTCCCAATTCTTATCCCCCTCACATCATCTGCCTCTCTTAATCTGTTCGCGATTATTTCTAGAACCATAATAAACAGTAGGGGGGACAATGGGCAGCCCTGCCTGGTGCCCTTCTCAATCTTAAAGGATTTTGTCAGATTGTCGTTTATGATCAGCCTGGCCTGTTGTTCTGAATAGATTGCCCTGATGCTTTTCATATAGGGACCTTCAATACCCGCCGTTTCCAAGCATTGTGATAAAAATTCCCAAGAGACGTTGTCAAAAGCCTTTTCGGCATCTATAAAGATCAGTGCAGCCGGGACATCTATTCTCATATCTAAATACTCGATGATATTTAAGATGTGGCGGACATTTTCTCTCTGATGTCTATTAGGGAGAAATCCCACTTGGTCCTTATGTATATACTTAGTTAAAAGTTTCTTAAGTCTGGCGGCCATTATGTTAGCAAAGATTTTATAATCGTTATTAAGCAACGAGATCGGTCTGTAATTTTTCATATCTGTTTTGTCTTTCTCAGTTTTTGGAATCAAGGTTATATATGCCATTTTCCACGAGGCTGGAATCTTCCCTCCCTGGAAAATATTGTTAAATACGTCTTTGAGCACAGGGACTAGTTGTTCTTCCAGTGTTTTATAATATTTTATAGTCAAGCCATCTGGCCCAGGGGCTTTCCCAATCTTCATCCTGCTGATGGCCTCCTTGATCTCGTTTACTGTAATCTCTTTATTCAGTTGCACTTTATCCTCCTCTGATATATATTTCCCTTCATTTCTGTCCAGATAATTCTTAATTTCTATACTATTTTCACTTCCTCTTTCATACAGCTTTTCAAAAAATTGAATAAATCTATTTTCTATTTCCTCTAAGTCTTCTATGATATTATCCTCCACTATTAATTTATTTATCACATTCTGTTTCTTTCTTTTTCTTAACTGCCAGGCAAGTAACTTCCCCATTTTGTTTGCGGACTCGAAATATCTCTGTTTTGTAAATTTAATTTTCCACTCTATCTCTTGATTTAATATTGCAGAATATTGAGACTGGAGGACCCTGATAACCCGAATAGCATCAGGATCTGTTGGATTTATGACCAGCTTTCTCTCGTAATCCCTCAGTTGGGCCAAGATGTCCTCTTTCTTACTTTCCCTTACCTTTCTCCTGTAATTGTTTTGTTGTATTAGGAGGCCCCTCAGGACCGCCTTGCTGGCGTCCCAAACTATATCTATGGGGGTTTCTTTATTCAGATTTAGCTCTAGATATTCTTTTAGTGCACCTTTGATTCTTTCTCTCACCTCTTCATTATCAAATAAATTCTCACACATCCTCCACCTGTACTGTCCCTTCAGTTCGCTTTTTATTTCCATGTCTAGGGCACAATGGTCAGATACCGTCCTGGGAAGAATCTCACATTTTTTTACCCTTGTAGTGAGTATTCTTGTTAACCAGATCTGGTCAATTCTGCTCCAGCTCTGATGGGGTTCGGAATAGTGCGTATACTGTTTAGAGGTGGGGTTTTTATGTCTCCATATGTCAACTAGGTCTAAATTCCCTTCCATGTCATTAAAAGACTTCGGTAATTTCCCCCTATCCAATTTCCCCTTCTTCTCACTCCTATCCCACTCCGGCAACGGGACACCGTTCATGTCCCCGAGCAGAATTATTTTGTGCGCTTCCAGCTCTAACAACATACTTTCCAGTTTCTCAAAAAACTCTGCTCTGTTTGAGTTTGGGGCGTAAACCGTCACGATATTGATTTTTTCCCCCCGGTAATTTAGTTGGATCCCCAGGATTCTTCCTTCCTCATCTTTACAGGTCAAAATTGGTTCCCACTTCTCTTTAACATATATTACCACTCCCCTTTTTTTTTTAATATCTGAGTTAATAAAATCGACTCCTAACTTTTTATTCACCAATATATGTTTGTGTTTCTTAGCAATATGGGTTTCCTGAAAACAGATTACATCATACTTCTTATTTTTCACAACTCTCTCAATTTTATTCCTTTTAACCTTCTCGTTCAGCCCGTTAACATTCCATGATAAAAGTTTTAATGTGTGTGTAATTGTTTACCTTTGTCCGCTTCTAAACCTTTAACCGAAATCGCAAACTATGACCTGTCGCCTTGGCTTCCTAGAGGCTCCCCCTCTTCTGCCGTGTCCCTTCCCACTACGGCCTCATCCTTATCTTCATCTGATTCTTCTACCTCCTCTCCAGCTCTTCTCCCCTCGTCTAACCGGCTCCTTAAATCTCCTTCCTCTTCCTCCCCCCTGCTCCTTGTTCTGTTCTCTACTTTACCCAATTCTTTTTCGTATCTTCTCAAAAACTTGTCCGCCTCTTGCACCTCCAATAGTCTGAACTTTTTCTCCTTATAAAAAAAACTAATCCCTTCCGGGAACTCCCATCGAAATGGAACCCCATTCCTCCTCAGAGCTGCTGCCACTTGTTTATAACCCTCTCTTTTCCGGAGTAGCCTGACTGGGATTTCCTTGTAGATAATAATAGGCCTTCCACCAATTCTTAATCTGTTATTATAACTCTTTCTCAGGACTAAATTTTTCATTTCCAAGGAACTAAAAATCACCAAACAATCCCCAGGAATTTACTCACGTTTACATGTTTAGGCCTATTCATTCTGTATACACTTACTACGGAAGATGCCATCTCTTCCTCACTTATGCCTAGCCAGATAGAGAGTTCCTTTATCATCTTCCCTCTTATATCCTCGTTTTTGTCCTCTGCTACTCCCCTAAATTTAAGATGAAGCTGCTTTAGCCGCATGTCTGCCATGGCTAAATTGTCCCAGATCTTATCTTGAGAAATGCATAACTCCCCCAGCTCTTCTTTTACCTTCTGTGTCTCCTTTTTTTGTTCCCTCATCTCTTTCTGAAGCTTTTTATTTGATTCCTCAATCATATTAGACTTAGCGGTAAGGTCTTGAATTTTGGTTGAGAGCTCGCCAACTGCTCCTTCTATTTTTCTGTCAATCAGCTCCTGGACCTCTCCTAATTTGTTTTCCATATGCAAAGTGTTTTGCCTGAGTTCCTCCTTTATTTTGGCCCACAGATTATCTAAATCTTTGATTTCCTCTTGCCGCGACAGCTTTCTTTCTCCCGGTGTCCCACCCCCTTTTTTCCCATCCTTTCCCGCCATTCCCGGAACTCCCCTCCTACTCCTACTCCCTTGTCTTAACTTCTTTCCACTTTCCGCCCTCCAATTAAGCACAGTTATAGGCAGGGAATGTCAGTAATCGGTGGGAGTTAGTGGTGGGAACCCTGAAAAGCAAAGATTCTAGCCGAGTTAAACAACAACCTCTAAAGGCAATACTCCCAGCATACACTTCAAACGTCCCAGAGCAGAGGTTCCCTGTTCGCGTCGATGGGTGAGGAATTAAAGAACCTTTTAATGAGGGTGAAAGAGGAGAGTGCAAAATATGGTCTGAAGCTGAACATCAAAAAAACTAAGATCATGGTCACCTCCTGGCAAATAGAAGGGGAAGAAATGGAGGCAGTGAGAGATTTTACTTTCTTGGGCTCCATGATCACTGCAGATGGTGAGAGCAGTCACGAAATTAAAAGACACCTGCTTCTTGGGAGGAAAGCAATAACAAACCTAGACAGTATCTTAAAAAGCAGAGACATTACCTTGTTGACAAAGGTTTGTATAGTTAAAGCTATGGTTTTCCCAGTTGTGATGTATGTAAGTGAGAGCTGGACCATAAAGAAGGCTGATCGCCAAAGAATTGATGCTTTTGAATTCTAGTGCTGGAGGAGACAATTGAGAGTCCCATGGACTGCAAAAAGATCAAACCTATCCATTCTAAAAGAAATCAACCCTGAGTGCTCACTGGAAGGACAGATCCTGAAACTGAGGCCACAATACTTTGGCTACCTCATGAGAAGAGAAGACTCTCTGGAAAAAAAACTCTGATGTTGCGTAAGATTGAGGGCACATGGGGATGACAGAGGATGAGATGGTTGGACAGTGTTATAGAAGCTACCAGCATGAGTCTGACCAAACTGCGGGACGCAGTGGAAAACAGGAGTGCCTGGTGTGCTCTGGTCCACGGGGTCACAAAGAGTCGGACACAACTAAATGACTAAACAACAAGGTCTGTAAGTTCATTTGGCCACCTGAGGACATTCTGCTGGTAGCACAACACCCTACAGAATGCAGTAGGGTAGTGACCCCAAAATAGGAATTTTCTAATGTTGCTCTTGTGTTGTGGAATGCCCTTCCCTCTGCCTTTCATGAAGCATTTTTGTTTTTGTTTTGGTAGATATTGTTTTTATATTGTACATAATGTACAGTGCCAGGAGATGCTTAAAACATCAAGCATACTTCCAAATTAGTAGAATAAATACATAAATGCAAGCGGCCACCCCCTCACTGCAGAGTAATGTGTGCCGTGCACAAGGATGGCAACAGATAAGCATGTGGCATTGGGGGCACGTTTCCTTTCCCTTCCTCAGACCCCCTCCTCGCTCCTGCATTAAAAGGTAAAGGGACCCCTGACAATTTAGTCCAGTCGTGAACGACTCTGGGGCTGCAGCGCTCATTTCACTTTACAGACCGAGGGAGCCGGCGTTTGTCCGCTTCCAAAGACAGTTTTCTGGGTCATGTGGCCAGCATGACTAAGCCACTTCTGGCGAAACAAGAGCAGTGCATGGAAACTCCATTTACCTTCCAGCCGGAGTGGTACCTATTTATCTACTTGCACTGCATGCTTTCGAACTGCTAGGTGGGCAGGAGCCAGGACCGAAGAACGGGAGCTCACCCCGTCGTGGGGCCTCGAACTGCCGACCTTCCAATTGGCATGCCCAAGCAGCACAGTGGTTTAAACCGCAGTGCCACCCGCTCCTGCATTATTGCCCCACTTTTGCACACATATATTACACCTTGCTCAGCATTCAGCCTAGAAGAGTTCTGGTAGGCTCATTGACTCCTGGAATTTGCTTTGGCCGTGATAAAGGAATCTTTCCAAATATAAATGGTAGCTTAACACACAGTTAATGTAAGCCACCTTTTCCTCTGCTTGGCTTAGTGGGTGATTTTCTTTTTGATAAATTCTTATTTATTCAGCCTGCAGAGGGCTGGCCAAGAGGTCCCCAGGGGGCGCCATCATTGCCCCTGCTGTGAAATAAGTACCTGAGCCTCATCCCTGCCTCTCCTTGCTCCGTTACATGAGTGATGTTAGCCAAAGATCAAGCTGGAAAAGGAGGATTGGTGAAACAGAGTAGGGAATATTGAGGGCTGAGGGGTGGAGGATTTAAAAAAAAAAATGTGTAAAACAGACAGCCTTGAATCACAGACCTTCAGCAAATCCAGCCAGCTCTGTTAACCAGAAACAGCTGAGATGAGGTTTGCTTTCAACCTTTTCACACCTGGGATCTAGAGCGGGGAAGAACCATGTACACTGACTTGAGCTCCTTGGAGTAAAAGATGGACTATAAAGATAAGAAACTGAGGCTCGTTCCCAGACCCTTTTGGAAAATAAATGTCCTTCTGAAATAAAATGCAGTATTCAAAATAAACCTTCTGTTTCCATCATTTTCTTCAGATAAAGTCCACAAGGAGATAGAAGATGCTTTAGGTTCTTCTCACACAATCTGCTATCAATATAAGAAGAAACTGCCCTACACCAATGCTGTGATTCATGAAATACAACGCTTTAAATATGCCTTATTTTTCGGGATCGCCAGGAAATGTACAAAGGATGTGAAGCTGTGTGGTTTTCTCATTCCCAAGGTAAATAAGTGTGGCAAACTGCACTCCTGTATCTCAAGAGCAAAGAGAATCCTAGAGTAACATACTGAGAGATGCATAAAGCCATAAAGGAACTTCCTGTGTAGTCAAAAACTTGAAGGGCAGGAAAAGGATGCAAGAGCAGGAGCTCCATCTGTAGACATGTTTCACCACTGGCTAGTGCTGTTCTATTGGGAATGTGAGGCAGGGAATGAATCTGGCCTTTGGTAAATGTGAATCCCCACACACACACACACACAAAAACCCTAGTCAGTTTGAATTCAATTTGAATTCTTCAAAGATTAGTTGCAGAACAGTGAGGAACAATCCAGAAAAGTATTGGTCTGAGTGCCAATCATTTGTTTCTTCTTTGCAGGGAACTTATATTATTCCTGATTTCCGCTCTGTTCTTGTTGATCCCACAAGATGGGAGACACCTGCAGTGTTCAACCCAAACCATTTCTTGAACAAGGATGGACAATATGTGGCTAGAGAAGAGTTTCTGGCGTTTGGTGCAGGTAAATCCAAAAGTCCAAGCTATGTTGTGATCTGTAAAAAGATAAAGGTAAAGGACCCCTGACAGTTTAGTCCAGTCGCGAACGACTCTGGGGTTGTGGCGCTCATCTCGCTTTACTGACCGAGGGAGCTGATCTTTGTCCGCAGACAGTTTTTCTGGATCATGTGGCCAGCATGACTAAGCCGTTTCTGGCAAAACCAGAGCAGCACACGGAAACGCCGTTTACCTTCCCGCTGGAGTGGTACCTATTTATCTACTTGCACTTTGACGTGCTTTCGAACTTCTAGGTTGGCAGGAGCAGGGACCGAGCAACAGGAGCTCACTCAGTTACGGGGATTTGAACTGCGACCTTCTGATCAGCAAGCCATCCGCACCCCTGTAGGCATCTGTAGGCATGCTTAATGGTCTGCTTCCAGAAAATGGCAACAGTAGCATGAGGGGCAGAGCAGTCTTCTACATACCAGTCATGAGTCTGATTCCACTAGGTTTCAGTAGTGGCTATTGGGTCATATTTGCCATCCTGTATTAATGGTTCAAATTTGTTTTCGTTTTCCATGTTCTGTGTGTTAGTATAGAGATAACCAAAACCATGAGCCCTTTCCTTCCACTTGGTTCCTTCTTGTAATTTCCTGCCCTTATTATGTCATATTATGTAGAGTGTTTTATAGCTACAAAGTAATGAACCCTGGAAAGTAAGCTATTATTCACTTGCTGCCTTTCCCTTGTCTCATCCTCAGGGTCTCGCATGTGTTTGGGTATGCTGCTGGCAAATACTGAAATTTTCATCTTCCTGACAAGCCTGCTGAGGGCATTTCGCTTCCAGCTGCCAGAAGGAGTGAAAGAACTCAATAAAGAGGCTTTACTGGGGGCTACAGCACATCCCCATCCTTATAAACTCTGTGCGGTTCCCCGCTGCAATGCATAATAAAATATGAAAGTACATGGGGCTGCACCTCTGCTTCCTCTGCTTACCAACTCCTTTGTCACTCCTGACACATAAGGGTTTCCCCTTCCCATCTCATGCAACTACTGTGGTCTCTCTTCACCTTCCCAGCTCCATTTCTGAGGCTTCTTCTCTCTTCTTTTCTGCAGCTCTGCTTTGCGCTCATTTTCACCATCACCCCATCTCCTCCTATTCTTCAAGCTCTTTCATGCCCCTGCTGTCATCTTCCACCCTATCCATGCCTCCTGATCCCTCATTCCTTTTCAGCTCCTTTGCATCCCCATTCCTACCCTCACTACTTTTCCCCCTTCCCCCTTTTCCCTCAACACCTATATAATGAACAGCCTCCTTTCAGCACACTCTCCATGCCAATATAGGTGACTGTATCTTTAAGATGAGTAGAATCCCAAGAGCAAGGCTTGCCCAGCTGGAGAAGGTTAAGTTCTGTTTATGGGTCCTGTACATTTGTAGCCATCTGCTTTTTAATAAAATATCTCTTCCAAATCACTACACTGAATGTGGAACTTCATTGGGGGGGGGGAACATATGGGATCAGGAGTGAAATACGTTGTGTGGAGGCACTGTGGGATATTTGATGACTTCACATCCTTTATCACTCTCCCATGTGGCTGCTAAGAAATGGAAGAGGGAGAATTTTAGAGCAGCCATTCCTCCAACTTCCGCTATTCTTTCCTTCAACCACAGAAGTTAAGAGTAATATGGAGGTGGAGGGACACCAAGACCACTGTGGTTTGAAACAACAGCAGAGGTTTGAGTAAAGCAAGGATGGAGGGGTCCTGAGCAATTGTTATTCATTTATTTTTAAAAACTGTTTTAACAAGGAGAAACAGCAGAGATGGGTAGTATATAGAGGTGTACACTAAAACACCAACACAACATAGACTTTCAAACTCCCTTCTTGCTGTATTCAAACCTTATTTTAAACTGCCACTCACCACCCCACACCCCAAAGTGCAGAGACTGACCCATCTCTGGACCTATCCAAGCTGGGCCGGTCCAGTAACTCAAAGAGCAAACTTCTTTATAAAAATATAATAAAGTTTTATTAAAAGAAGGCTACAGGGTTTTAAGAGTGAGAGATTTCTGGTAGCAGCGCAAAGTAAAGTACGGCAACTTGGAAGCTTAAAAATAACAAAGCTATCTTATCTCACTTTGTTCTAGCTTTTAGGATTGTTACCAATTTTGGATGGTATAAAAGTTTTAATTTTGCTAATATGTGGTGGCTGGTTAATTTCGTACTTTTTGAAGAGTATTTTCTGAGAAAGTGGCTTATAAATGTATCAAATAAACAAATAAATAGTATGGACTGACAAAGAGCAACTTTTTGCGGAAGAGGCTAAATGACTAAACAACAACATAAGCAACACACATAACACAATATTTAAAATAATATAAAAATGACAAGCTCTTATTAATACTGAAAAGCACAAACCCATGTTGACTAGAGCATTAGAATGGTTGGGGCATGGTAGCACCAGAGCTTGTCTCCCTTCTGTTTCACTGACCTTGGTGCTTTCCTGCTCTTCTTGCTCACAATGTGCACCTTGATCTGGTGTGGAAAACCTTGGCCCGCCACATGTTGCAGAACTACAACTCCCACCAGCCCCAGGAAGCACAGCCAGTGACCAGCACTGTTGGAAGTTGCAGTTCTGCATCACCTGGAAGGCCAGAGGCTTTGCCCACCTGCGCTGCACTATGTTGCAAGGAGATTGTTTCTTCTATCGTTTTTTTGTAGCAAAATATGCTGCATAGCAACTGCTAGATCCACCTGTGTGTGGCCAAAGGTACCATGCTTGGAATGAAGTAATCACGATTAACTAATTCATTTAATTACATTTTCATTTTCATTCCATAATTTATGAATGTAGGAGTTTCATCACACCCTAGTTTGTGTTTGATTGCAGCCGTTGCATTTACCATTTAAACCTACCTGAAAATGATGTTATTGTTTATACTTAAAGTTTCTTACTTTGGGGGGAAATAAATAAAAACCATTGTGCACATGAGTCTGGGTTATTACTGAGAAATAAATACCTTAGCAAGAATGTCTTCATGAATCTTCACCCCAATCCACCACATTAGACAAAGTTATAGTAAGAAGTACGGTAAGTACCATAATGAAAGTATCTTCACAAATATTCAACCCAATCTGCCATGCACCACCAATGAGAAGAGGCTGAGGAAGTCCAGGATGTTAGTGTCTGTGTGACCAGAGCTGTTTCAGGAAGTCCAGAACCAGAAGAACCACCAGCAGAGCAATAAAAAATGCCAATATCTCCAAAGCCCTCCTGCCTTCTGTTTCTCCTTGATTCTTTCTAGGATGCCTGGTTAGGTTCCATTTTCTTCCTTTGCTTTTCTCAGGGACGTCAGCACTTCTCTTTGCCGGAGCACACTAGAGAAAGTCCAGTGAACAGGATGACTCCTCCTGCTGGAATGAAGAGGCAGGGCCCTTCAAGTCTTTTGCCTCTTCTTCCAGAGGGAGAAGCTATCCTTCCCTCCAGTTCTGCCCTGCCTCTGGTCAGGTTGGCAGGTTCCTTTTTTGAGTGAGGAAAACTTTTTCCTTACTCTGTACCACTGTCATTGTGATTTCTCTTTTGCCTTCCTTTTTGGCTAGGGTTCCTATATTTCAAAAATCCAGACACAAGAGTTCTTGAGCTTTTGGGGGCAGGGCAAAGTTGTTGAGCTTCTGACATGTGTTGCCATATGTCCAGATTTTCCTAGACATACAGCAATTTCTCCCCACTGTTTCCGACGGCCAAATCCAGGCTACGTCCGGGAAATTCTGTACATGTGGCAACCCTGTTTTTGCCTCTTCCATGTGTTTCTTGTCTGCTGAAGTTGACTGAGGCTTGGGGTTGTGTGTGTGTGTGTGTGTGTGTGTGTGTGTGTGTGTGTGTTCCCGCAGGGCTTTTTTCTTTTCTCCTTCCTCCTCCTTTCATTTATGCAGGAGGGAATTAACAGACCTTGTCTGTGTGGGCACTTTGTGTCCTTGAGGCAGGAGAATTGACGGGGCCTGCAGTACCCACATAGAATGATAGAATTGTAGACTTGGAAGTTACCATGAGGGTCACCCAGTCCAACTCCCTGCAATGCAGGAATCTTTTGCCCAACGTGGGGCTTGAACCCATGCCCCTGAGATTAAAAGTCTCCAGCTACACCAAGCTATACCAAGCTCATCCTCCATCATGTGGGAGCGTCACTCACTCTAAGGCAGCAGTTCTCAATCTGTGGGTCCCCAGATGTTGTTGGACTACAACTTCCATCACCCCTGAGCTCTGGCCTTGCTAGCTAGGGATGGTGGCAGTTGTAGTCCAACAACATCTGGGGGCCCACAGGTTGAGAACTGCTGCCTAAGGGAACACATCCATGGTTCTCCCCAGCATACTGTGGACTGATTTTTTGTTGTTTGTGTGTGTGTTTGTGTGTGTGTGTGTGTGTGTGTGTGTGTGTGTTTGCAATGGGGAAAGAGAACGTAGAACATCAAGGCTTTTCTGATGGGACCCACGATACACTTCCAGTGGGACCTAGAGCTGTATTTCCTTGGGCACGCCTCCTTCTAAGGCTGTCTGCTGCTTCTGATTCATTTGTCTTCTGATTCATTTGGCGCACAAGCCAAATACTTTAGCAGGCAATCTTCAAAGCCATGGCTGGCCATAGCATGAAGCAGTTTGCTTCAGTGGAAGCTTGTCCGGAGTAGCGTCAGGCACCGTCCACCAGTGCCAAGTGCTGGCCGCCAACCATTACTCCCCAGCTACTTTTTACTCCAGGCGGTTGGGGAGAAGGGGCAAGGGGTGAGCCGGTGGTTTCCCTAACATGGCCAAAAAAATGGTCTTGCACTATGGACCCCCACCAGCATCACCTTGCGATGAGCTGCCACAACCTCCCCTGCCACCTTCTCTCCACCTGCCAAAGCTGCTGCTAAGAGCAGCAATGACACAACCAGCTGCTGTCCAGTTCTCTCTTTATGTGTCCTTGAAGCTCATTTTTGACCAGGCTGAACAAACTGAAGCCTGAGTAAACAGCAGTCTAGGGTGAGAGAGGCCCTTAGTTGGAAGTCTAGGGTGCCTTTATTGAAACACATTTGTAAGCTCCCTAAATATCTTTGGTTTGATTTAAAATAAGAATGAAAGTAAAAGAACTACCGGAGCTAGTGTGCTATAGTCCTGTCTGAATTCTCTCTCTCACTGCAGCTGCACGCTTCCCTATATTTATCATCTGCAGGGTTCACATTTCTCCTCTCTCCACCCCAAACGCCATTCATAGCTGTGACTTGGTTCATTGACTAAAAGCTTCAAGAGGGGAGCGTGGCAGGCTGCTTTCTCCAGTAGGGCCTGGAGATGGAAGTGGTTCTTCCTCCTCACGTGCTGGCCTTCCCTCCTGCTGTTTCCTGATGGGACCACTCTCTGCCTCTGACAGGTGAGTGGCTGCACTCTGCCCATGGTCAGAGGCTCCTTTTCTGACCATCCTCAGCCTCTGCCCTGGTGCTCCCCTCCTGGATCTGGATACAGAATGAGGGCCAAAGGACAAGGAGCAGCTGATAAATGGATTGGAGGCAAAGCAAGTGAGAGTGACCGCCAGGAATTGAGAGGAAGAAAAAGAATATGGGAAATAAATCTGGCAACAAATCTTTCTGTCTGTCTGTCTGTCTGTCTGTCTGTCTGTCTCTCTCTCTCTCTCTCTCTCTCTCTCATCCCCCGCCCTGCCTTCTGCTGCAAATGAGATGGCACAGCAAACAATTGCAAACAATGATTATTGTATATACCGTATTTTTCGTCCCATAGGGTGCACCGGCCCATAGGACGCACCTAGTTTTTTGGGGGGAAATAAGGGGGGATTTATTTATTTTTCCCAGGCACGGGGCTGGTGTGGGGGAAGCCCGAGCTTCCCCCGACCCCATCCCCCAGAACAGGCAGCTCTCCGCAAAGCGGTGGGAGAGCTGCGCGGCTTCGCACAGCTCTCCCACTGCTTGCCGAGAGCTGCGCGAAGCCCGAAGCCTGGGGGGAGCTGAGCTCAGCGCCCCCCCAGGCTTCTGGGTCCAGGCAGCTCTCTGCAAAGGCTTCAGCGAAAGCCTGCATTCGCCCCATAGGACGCACACACATTTCCCCTTCGTTTTTGGAGGGGGGAAAGTGCGTCCTATAGGGCGAAAAATACGGTACTTATATTGTATATGCTTATTATTATTGTATATACTCATTATACTTAATCCGAAAGGTGGTGCATCCCAAACTGCTAGCACATGACCCTCAGGTCGTGACCTTTCTAACTGTACAATTCTACAATTCTATGATTCTTGTAAGGGCAATTGCTTAAAAATATTGGGGGAACAGTATTATTTTTAATGGGGAACAATATTATATTTTGTACAGTGGTACCTCAGGTTAAGTACTTAATTCGTTCCGGAGGTCTGTTCTTAACCTGAAACTGTTCTTAACCTGAAGCACCACTTTAGCTAATGGGGCCTCCTGTTGCTGCCGCACCGCCAGAGCCCAATTTCTGTTCTTATCCTGAAGCAAAGTTCTTAACCTGAAGCACTATTTCTGGGTTAGCGGAGTATGTAATCTGAAGTGTATGTAACCTGAAGTGTATGTAACCCAAGGTACCACTGTATCATGGCATCTGTAAGTGTGGGACACCATTTCCATGACAATAAAGGAAGATAAAACACAGGGTTTTGTACATTATGGTTCCCCTCTCTCCTAAGCTGCTTCAAACTTCCAGGGACTGGTGAGCTGCACCAGTCCCTGGAGCTTGTGGATATAATCTCAGAAACATTGTTTATTATCTTTGAGGTCCCTGCAGACCCATCTTCAAAAAGGGGGGGGGGAGACCTACCTAACGACCAACCAGTGAGCTTGATATCAATACCAGGAAAGATCTTAGAACAGATATGTTAAGTTGTGGGTGGACATATCAGACGACACAGCAATTCTTCAAACAGCTCTTGTTTATTTACAGGCCAGAACAGAACTGAACTGAAGGGTTCAGTCAGCCTGCTTATATAGAGCTCCAGAACAACATTACTGTAACAACTTTCTAAAACTATCCAATCACTGAACGTCACTTTCAATCCTTCATTTGCACAACTATCTACAGTATCCCCCTGCTGGCCCAGGGTGAGAACTTCAGTACATAACAAGATAATTATACGGTCAGTCTGTGAGGACTTAGAAAAAGATGCTGTGATTACTAAGAACAGGCATAGGTTTCTCAGAAATAAGTCATGCCAGACCAATCTGATTTCTTTCTTTTTCTTTCTTTTTTAATTTTTAATTTTTTTAATTTTCCATTCTTTATAATCACACTTTCAACCAGGGATGTCGAATAACTTACCAAAAAAATCATTCAGTCAAAAATCTAACAATAACATGCATCAAAATCCTCCTCCTATTAGTTATACATAACAGTATATACTTTTGTCCCTACTCATTTATCCTATTTCCCCCCCTTCCTCCCTCCCCTTTAACCCCTCCCCAACACTTGTTCTCTCTTCAGATCTTTAACCATGTGCACAGATTATTCATTCTAATTTGGATGCTTGGGTTGGCTTCCCCCCGTGCTATCCAATTCCTATAACTTGTCCATTTATTCAAAATCTTTTGACATTTGTTTTCCCATGTATCTTCCGTCATTACCTGTTCAAATATGTCAGATTGTATATAGTCAAAAACATAGTCATTCCATTCTTCCATTGTCCATTTATCCTTTTCTTTCCATCCTAATGCAATAACAAGCATACCAGCTAAGATCATAATTTTATAGCAATCTTGCTCTTTTCTTTCTATTTTACTATTCCCCGGTATTCCTGAGATAAACATTTCTCTATTGCCTTCTATCTTAACCTGAAATACTTCAGAAATAACCTTTATAATCTTTTGTCAATATTCCTTTACACAAATACACTCCCACCACATATGTGCATATACCCCTAACTCTTGACAACAATGCCAACACTTAGGATTCAATCCTTTAACTATATATGCCAGTTGCGCTGGGGTTCTATACCATTTCAATAGGAATTTCCTACTTAATTCTTTATATTTATCCATTTTTATTTTATCTATACTCTTCATCATCTCTTGGACCGTATTCAAATGAAACAGCCCTTCCCGCTCCCATTTATTCTGAAATACCCTTATCATCCTTTCCTTATTTCTTATCATTAATTTATATATCATGCCTGCTATCCCTTTCTCTGTTATTTGTCTTTTGTTACGTATTTCATCAATTACTGATCCTGAACTCATCATATCCTCTATTTTTTCTGCTTCTATTCATTTATATAGCCCTTGCACTTTCAACCAATATTGTTTTCCTACTTTCTCCAAAATGCTATTTTTTGTCCTTAACTTCCCGTCTTCATCTAACAGATCTTTTAATTTATTAAATCCATGTTCTTCTAATTTCTTCCACCAACCAGGATCTGTTAATATCTGTTAATATTTAATGCTGTGTTGTTTTTAACACTTGATTGGAGGCCGCCCAGAGTGGCTGGGGATGCTCAGCCAGATGGGCAGGGTATAAATAATAAATTATTATTATTATATTATTATCATTATTATCATCATACATACATACTTACATACATACCCATCTGGGTGGCTCCCTACACAATAAAAAAACATTAAAACATCCAACATTAAAAACGTCCCTAAACAGGGCTGCCTTCAGATGTCTTCTAAAAGTCAGTTTTTTATTTATTTGACATCTGATGGGAGGGCGTTCCACAGGGCAGGCGCCACTACTGAGAAGGGCCCTTTGCCTGGTATACAACTACCCTAAATTTGATCCAGAAGACTCTTATGTTCTTATGTTAATTTCAGATAAAATGAGCAAGTCAGGGCAGAACATCATATTCAGTGGAAAGGAAGGAGAGAGAAATGTGCCAGTCCCTGTTTTATTATGTCCTGCAGTGGGGAATAGCACAGATTTTATAAGGATGAGGGTTCATTGCAACCCTTGGTACAGGGTCTTGATTGAGTTCTTTCACTCCTTCTGGCAGCCGGAAGCTGAATGCCCTCAGCAGGCTGGTCAGGAAGATGAAGATTTCGATCTTTGCCAGCTGCATTCCCAAACATATGCGAGACCCTGAAGAGGAGACATGGGAAAATCAGCAACTGAGTAATAACTTACTTTCCAGTCAGGGGGGGTTTTCAGCCAGAACTCACTGGATCTCAGTTCCAGCATCTCTCAGGTGGGCATCACTGCCATTCTAAGAGAACGAGGGAGGTTCACAGTGAGTTCCGGCACCTCCTTTTCTAGAAAAATTGCACTGTCCCCAGATATCATTATTTTATAACTTTGAAATACTCCACATAATATTTTGTAAAACCAAGCCCAACTACTAGTCGTAGATTCATAGAAGGAGTTGGGTCAAGGAAATAATCAGGACTCCTGTCTCCTTTAGAGCTCAAAGGAGGGATAGGGCAGGGTGGTGGCAAAGTCTGAGATGCTTCAGGTTGGTGGTGGTGAAGACCCTGAAAGTGTATGTGCATCTGCAGAGTCACCATCACCAACCCAGAGCGTCCCCAAAGTTGCCACTTCCTTTCTCATTCCTGTTCTGGTGAGTCGCAGGGCCACTGCTCCTGCAAGAGTGCTGTCTACTTTCTCTTGCATGTGCTGATTATGATGTCATTTCCTGTGAGTAGCCCAATATGCATGTCTACACATCAAAACATAGCTTGGTCTTCTGCATTTACCTGCACCAAATGGCAGGTATTCTTCTCGAGACACATATTGTCCATCCTTGTCCAAGAAATGATTTGGGTTGAACTCTGCAGGTGTCTCCCATCGTGTGGGATCAAGGAGAACAGAGCGCAGGTCAGGAAAGATACCAGTCGTCTGTAAAGAAGAAACCATTGTCATTGAATACACTAAGATCAACACTTTTCTGAAATGTCCCTCAATATGCCAGGGGAGGGAAGTCATTTACCAGTGGCCAGATTAATAGCCAGGAAAAGAATGGCCTCCTTCTCCCCACCCCTCTTTTCAAAGGAAAGCCCAACATCCAGACTGAGACCTCTGGCCAATAACGGCCATCCATCAGGGCGACCAAGGCTGATTCAGTTCTAAAACTTCTTCTGAACTCAGTATCACTGTTTGTGTATTTCCTCCTGGTCAAGTACCAACGTTATTAGAGGAAACACAAAATTGCAGTATTTTAAGCATATAAATATTTGAATTTACCGTATTTTTCACACCATAACACTCACTTTTTTTCTCCTAGAAAGTAAGGGGAAATGTCTGTGCGTGTTATGGAGGGAATGCCTATGGGTGGCGGGGGGATCTGCTGCAGTCGTGAGCAGAGGATCCATGGTTCCCCTTCCTTCCCTCCTCCGTGGCTCGCTTTGAAACAGCAAAGCGGGAGAAGAGCCTCTGAGTGAGGAGGAGAGAGAGACAGAGAGCCTGCTTGCTTTAAAGGAGCAAAGCAGGAGAGGAGAGGAGCCGCTTACACGAGTGTAAGTGGCTCCTGTCCGGTTGGCTCCTTTAAAGCAAGCAGGCTCTCTGTCCCTCTCTCCTCCCCACTCGCTAAATAACAGCAACGTTTTTTCAAGCAGGCTCTCTGTCTCTCTCTCCTCCCCACTCACTAAATAGCAGCAAAGATTTTTCAAGCAGGTTCTCTGTCTCTCTCTCCTCCCCACTCGCTAAATAGCAGCAACGTTTTTTCAAGCGGGCTCTCTGTCTCTCTCTCCTCCCCACTCGCTAAATAGCAGCAACATTTTTTAAAGCAGGCTCTCTGTCTCTCTCTCCTCCCCACTCGCTAAATAGCAGCAACATTTTTTCAAGCAGGCTCTCTGTCTCTCTCTTCTCCCCACTCGCTAAATAGCAGCAAAGATTTTTCAAGCAGGCTCTCTGTCTGTATCTCCTCCCCACTCCTCTTATAAGAGCCTTCTCCTCTTATACCCCTCTTCTGCATTATTAACAGCATCCTTCTCCACCCACCCCATGCGTGTTCCTTGTCCCTTGAGTGCTTTTCCTTCCCTCCCCACTTAAAACATGGTTCCAAAGCACGGATCCACACGGATCCTCAGGATTTTTGCACTGGGTCACCCCAAATTCACCATCAGATCACATAGCATGTCCATGGCTACAGCTTGCACCAAAAAAATCACGCACCCACTGTTGCCTGGGGCCACAGTGGTGCAAAAACATGGTTACAAAGCACAGATCCACATGGATCCTCAGGATTTTTGCATTGGGCTACCCCAAACTCACCGTAAGATCACATGTCTGTGGCCACAGCATGAACCACAAAAATCATACATCCACTGTTTCGTTTAGAATATTTTTTTTCTTGTTTTCCTCCTCTAAAAACTATGTGCGTGTTATGGTTGGGAGCGTGTTATAGAGCGAAAAATACGGTATGTATTTCATTTAGGGAAGCCTGGCGGAAAAAGAAAACCTCAAATCAATAAATACAACTATGTGTTTGTGTGTGTGGAGACTATGTGATGTCATGCATTTATGAGCATTTTGGAAACATGATAACTTTGAACAATTATTGTTGTTGTGATTGTGCAGGTGTATGATATGGGGTATCCTAATAAATCTCTGGGTCCAGCAACACTTCCACATGTGCCTGTCTTAAAATCAGCAGAGTGATCAATCAGTGCAGCCTCCTTGGAAACACATTTGAAGGGCTGGTTGCACACGAAAGGCAATAAAACATTCATGGAAACAAGAAAGATCAATCAAGTAAGTTGTTTACTTGAGCAGGATGTAAAATGCGTAACGGTTTCATTTTACAAGCACTTCCAGGCATGCCTGGAAGAAGCGGACTATTTGGATCCCTTCCAATCAGGATTCAGGCCTCATCATGGGACTGAAACTGCCTTGGTTGTGCTGGTCGATGATCTCCAGCGGGCTAGAGACAAAGGTGAGAGCTTTTTCCTAGTTCTGCTGGATCTCTCAGCAGCTTTTGACACCATCGACCATAACATCCTTCTGGACTGTCTAGAGGGGCTGGGAGCTGGGGGCACTCTTACACAGTGGTTCCGCTCCTTTCTCCTGGGCCGTGTTCAAAAAGTGGGGTTGGGGGATGAGTGTTCAGACCCCTGGGCCCTCACTTGTGGGGTGCCTCAGGGTTCTGTCCTCTCCCCCATGCTTTTTAACATCTACATGCAGCCGCTGGGAGAGATCATCAGGGGGTTGGGTCTGGGTGTTCATCAATATGCAGATGATACCCAGCTCTACCTCTCTTTCAAATCAGAATCAGTGAAGGCGGTGAAGGTCCTGTGTGAGTGTCTGGAGGTGGTTGGAGGATGGATGGCAGCTAACAGATTGAGGTTGAATCCAGACAAAGACAGAAGTACTGTTTTGGGGGGACAGGAGGTGGGCAGGTGTGGAGGACTCCCAGTTGTGCAGCCTGGGAGTTATTTTGGACTCACAGTTGTCCATGGAGGTGCAGGTCAGTTCTGTGTCCAGGGCAGCTGTTTACCAGCTCCATCTGGTACACAGGCTGAGACCCTACCTGCCCACAGACTGCCTCACCAGAGTGGTGCATGCTCTAGTTATCTCTCGCTTGGACTACTGCAATGCACTCTGTGTGGGGCTACCTTTGAAGGTGACCTGGAAACTACAACTAATCCAGAATGCTCTGTGATACTTCAGGTTCTCAAATGAAACTGGGAATGAAAGACGAGGCAGCAATGCAAAGAAACTGGGCAGGGACCTAAGAGTTTTGGATGCAGAGCAGACTCTCCTTGTTGTGTGTAATGTTGCTGAACAGCTCAGAAGAGTGTGCAAATGAGAACCTGAAGTAAGCTGCTGTTTCTCTCTTTCCCTGGCCAGGAGATGGAAGGAGCAAGGAATGAAAATGTGAATAAAGATTTGATGATTTTTTTAAGTGTGATGGTTGGTGGGAAAGGCTTTCATCTGGGAATTCAGAACTCTGCATTACAGAGTCAGATGGCTTAAGGGTTTTTGTGACAGTCCCAGCATTTTCAGAGCAGTTGAAGAGTATGCAGGAATACCTGTTCTCCAACCACCACCTCAAACACCTTTGCTAAGAAAGGTGTGTTGGCAGCCCATCTATAGTTGTTACACTCCATTGGGTCTAGAGTGGGATTTTTGAGAAGTGGAACACCACTGCCTCTTTAAGCGCAACAGGCACCACTCCATCACACTACCACACCTCTGATCGATCCAGTCACCCCACCCAGCATTCTTAATCCAAGTTGTTCATAAACTAAGCTGTTCTTAAACCAAGGTGCCACTGTAATAGAATAATAATCATAGAATTGTAGAGTTGTAGAGTTGAAAGGGACAACAAGGGTCAATGCGGGAATTTTTTTGCCCAACATGGGGCTCAAACCCACAACCCTGAGATTATTAATTGGAATTGATTCCACAATGCTGGGCCTGACAATTTGCAGGACACCTCAGCTGGCACAGTCTCAATAGCAGCATCTAAATTGCTGCAGAGCCAAACAACTTTATCCTTGAAATGTTTAGCTATCCGGTTACAGCTAGTCACCATGTGTTCAGGAGATCCACCTCACCAGTCACAAGTTACTAACCTCTCGATGACACAGAATAACTCTGCTCAATGGTTCCCCGAGGATGTAATGGAGGCAGCAAAGTAGGATAAAACCTCTGCCCTTGCCACCACATTGTAGGCCCTATTACGAGCCAGAACATGTGCTTCGGCAGCTCATAAGTGAGGTTTACGCCACTTATGAGCCAGCCGTATATGCTTTTGATATACAAGAATGCAGCTGTTACCTTGGGAATAAGAGAACCACGTATCTTCACATCCTTTGCCGTTTGCCTGGGAATTCCACTTACAAAGGCATATTTAAAGCGCTGCATTTCATGAATCACAGCATTGGTGTAGGGCAGTTTCTTCTTATCTTGGTAGCACATTGAATGAGAAGAACCTATAACATTTTTTATCTCCTTGTGAACTTTATCTGAAGAAAATGATGGAAATGTATTGTTTATTTTGACAAGAACATTTTTTCCCATGAAATTATTCTAAGAAGATATATGAATGAATCCCAGTTCATAGCTCATTTATATTATTATATTATTTATTGCATTTATAGCCCATATTTTCCTCCAAGGACTTCAATGCAATAAACATGGTTCTTCCACTCTCTTTAAACCTCATTAGTAACCTGGGACAATAGGTTAATCTGAAAAATACGGACTAGTCTAAGGCCACCCAGAGGGTTTCATAGCTGTATTAGAATTTGAACCTGGGTTTTCTCAATCCTAGTTTGACATTCTAACTGCTACTTCCACTGGTGGGTCAAGGTGGCTGCACTAACAGGATTTTTCCCGACCTAAAGTGGGTTGCAACACCAGCACTGCCACCATATAAATATCTGGTAAAAAATTAAGGAGTGCTCCTCCAAAAACATTTTTCAGCTAAAGGTGAGTTCCTAGGTCTGGAAAGTTGGAAAATTCCCTAATCTCAGCTGCTACTTATATTTGGAAAGATATCATGGCCAACCAAAATGTCACAAGGGGTTGAGCAGGTCTACCAGAATTCTTCCAAGCTGGATGTTAAGCAAAGCGGAAGGGCAGGGAGTAAGAAAAAACATGACTTCATTAAGTCATAATCTGTGCATTGGTCAACATTTCATTTTGGTTGCAGAGTTTTAGAAGGGGCATGGCTTGGGGGTTGTCATGAAGGGAGCCTGGATTTCTGGATTCACCATGACATCACTGGCAAAAGCATTCATCTCTTTCTCTCCCTTCCTTTGACCATCCCAGTCTTCAAATTGTCTTCCCTCTATTTGCAAAGCCACTCTTCTCTCCTTCAGAAAAACTTTGATGAATTCACTTTAGTCTAACAACAGGGGCACATTCTTGTCCCTGACCCTCTCCTATGAATTTAATTATAAATTGAGACCCTCCATCTCTTATTGTCCCAGTAATCATAGACTGGAAGTATTCTATGGGCGTGGGGTGTTCAGGGCAAATTAGTTTTTAATTCTACCACACTGTTGAGTTTGATTAGAAGTTCCAGAATCTGTATAAGGAAACATTTGTGAAGAAGAATGATCTTCCATGAGATGTAAGTCAAAAACATTTAGCTTATTTCAGTATGCTCCCAGTATGGGAGTCTTTTGGCTCCCATTGCACATGTCTCCCTCTCTCACCTTGGATATCTGGATGATTTGCCAGGAGGAGAAGTGCCCATTTCAGAGAAATTGCAGTTGTTTCTGTCCCTGCTACAAAGAAGTCAAAAATGCATTGGGCCAGGTTGTCTTCATTAAACGTAGACTCTGGATCATTCCTGTTCTGGTGCTGAAAATAAGAAAGGTGACATGTCATTTATATGCCTTATAGTCTGTTCTCCATCACTTACTTTAGCTTCTTTTGCCAACTTTTTGCCCTGTGAGCATTTGAATATATTTGAGTCTCTTTCATTGAGTAAATCAGTGCTTTCCAAACTGTGTGTCACGGCACGTTAGTGTGTCAACTACAGTGTGTAGTTGTGTCGTGTGAATGCTCCCTGAGTTCCTCCTAGGGCTGGAAAGGGGTTCGTTTAACCTCCGGTTTGCTAGTAAAACTGAATTACTCTGTCGTAAAATGATGCATATCTAAAAAGTGTGTCATCAACATGAAAAGTTTGAGAAGTTCTGTTGTAGATTATTGTCACAAGGCTCTAAAAGTGTGCATTATTTCTCTTCGGGATGCAACTGTGTACCATTTAGGAATGTGGGATAGATATGAATCAGGTCACATTTAAAGGCAGAGTGGCTGGGGAAACCCAGCCAGATGGGTGGGGTATAAATAATAAAGTTATTAAAATTATTATTGCTTAATTTGTACTTTTTGAAATAACACCGTGCCCAATGAATACAGAGAGATAAATCACAAACTAAACAACTCTGTATATGATTTGCAAAAATTCCTTAACAATAATGTACAACATTTCAAAACCTTCTAATACATGGAATCTTAAATAATATCTACAATGTCAAAATAATAATGACATACGCAACTCAGTATCTCAAAGCCAAAGTGTCCAAATATTCCTGAAATAAGTGAATCAGAATGACTCTCTGTGTGTATACTTGTTCTGGTGCAATCCCGATGGAACTGCAACAACGGGATACCCAGGATTTCAATCTCTGTTTCTTGAATCTTCTTCTGGTTGGCCCAAAAAGGAGCTCTAGATCATACATAACACGCTTATAATCTTATAAGCATGTTGTGTATTGTTAAGGAATTTTTGCAAACCACATACAGAGTTGTTTACTTTTCGAAGCAATACCAGTAGTGAAAATGCAGCCATCCTTCAAAATTCTCATTTCTCTGAATTTTGCAGAGCTGCTATCTAGCCAAGCAATGTGTACAGAAACACACAGAGCATTTGACTCTCAGCATACAGCATTTGTGGCTACTGGTAAGTAATTTCAGGATTGCATTACCATTTAACTATGGGGGGCATGGTGTGATATATTTTGATACAGTGTGCCCCACATGTACTCTGAACTCTGCATTGATTAATGAAGCCCTCCTGTTTTATAGTCCTGGTATTCAGTACTTACTTTCTCCATCTGAAGTAGATAGAAATCAATGAAATCCTGTGGCTCATGCAGAGACGAAGTCTCCTTATGCTTCTCTATCTCATCCTTTGCAAATGAAATCACCGTATCCAGGCTAGAAAATGCCTGCTTGTGGGGCCCTGGGAGATATCTCATAATCCATGGGAATATTTCATACAGCTAAAGTAAAGATAACAAAAACGTTGCCATTACCATGAAGAAGCTTGGTCACACTGTTCATGAATCAACTCCTGTGGGCTAGTGCTTAAATAACATGATCTGGGTTATTCCTCACAGATAGTATATTAGCTTGACTCTCATGGAGAAGAAGGTGGGTGTCAACAGCATCTTCAGAATTCCACAATGACTGGATTATGATAATTAAGCTTGGCTGAAAAGTGGAATGAAAACTAGCGTTTGAAATATATTGCCAGCTTTCAGGCTTCATTCTAAAACTGCACTATTCCAGACCAGGAATGGGGATGGAGAATATGGATAGCAGAGAAATTCAATTTTGCTCTAGTTTCACTCCCCGCTAAGAACCAAATACATAGCTTGTTGTTTATACATATATATATATATATATATATATATACTGGCTCTGTTCCAGTAACAAGAAGCCGAAAGCACCAGCCTGAAGATGACGAGTGAGACCTCGTCGAAACGTCGCCTAGACACCCCAACTTTTACACGGGAAGACACCCGAGGACACCAAAACCTACATTCCTGTACCCGTGAAAATCTACGAAAGCATATATATATATATATATATATACACACACACACACACACACACACACACACGTATGTATGTATGTATGTATGTATGTATGTATGTATAAGCATATGTGTGTGTGTATATGTATGTATGTATAGATATAGGTATAGATATATAGATATAGATAGGAGTTCATTTTTCTACATATCAAATTAAACGTGTTACAAACTTTGAAACATCTAATGACTGCCCTTCTTCTCCTTCCGTGGTTCATATTACATTTCATAGTTTCCTGCATGTTTTACTATAACCATTCAAATCAATTTGATCCCCAGGAATGGGGGTGGAAGATACGGACCCTCCTTCGTTGGAGGTATTTAGGCAGAGGTTGGATGGCCATCTGTCATAGATGCTTTATCTGAGATTCCTGCATAACAGGGGGTTGGACTAGACAACCCTTGGGGTCCCTTCCAACCTTAAAATTCTATGATTCTATGACCTTAAGAGCCAACAGCCAGGATACCTTTTTTTTTCTAGTTCCCTTTTCACCCTTGGTGGGGTAAATCAATTTAAACTTTAACATGTTGACCTTTGAATATCTTAACAGTCTAGAGCAGGTGAGGGAAACCTTGGCCATCTATATGTTACTGAACCACAACCCCATCAGAACCAGCCAGCATAGCCAAAGGCCAAAGATGACCAATTGTAGATGAGCAACATCTGGGGGCCAGACGTTCCCCACACCTGGTCCACAGCCAGATTACCATAAGAACTGATTTCTCCCATGTGAAGGTCTCTGAGCCCCTGAGTCCTATGTACCGTTGCCATTAGATACAGTGATCAGACAGTTGTTGTTTAGTCGTTTAGTCATGTCTGACTCTTCGTGACCCCTGGACCAGAGCACGCCAGGCACTCCTGCCTTCTAGTGCCACCCACAGTTTTGTCAGTTTCATGTTGGTAGCTTCTATAACACTGTCCAACCATCTCATCCTCCGTCATCCCCTTGTGCCCTCAATCTTACCCATCATCAGAGTTTTTTTCCAGAGAGTCTTCTCTTCTCATGAGGTGACCAAAGTATTGTGGCTTCAGTTTCAGGATCTGTCCTTCCAGTGAGTACTCAGGGTTGATTTCCTTTAGAATGGATAGGTTTGATCTTTTTGCAGTCCATGGGACTCTCAAGAGTCTCCTCCAGCACCACAATTCAAAAGCATCAATTCTCTGGCAATCAGCCTTCTTTGTTGTCCAGCTCTCACTTCCATACATCACTACTGGGAAAACCACAGCTTTAACTATACAGACCTTTGTTGGCAAGGTGATGTCACTGCTTTTTGAGATGTTATCTAGGTTTATCATCACTTTTCTCCCAAGAAGCAGGCATCTTTTAATTTCGTGACTGCTGTCGCCATCTGCCGTGATCATGGAGCCCCAAAAGGTAAAATCTGTCACTGCCTCCATTTCTTCACCTTCTGTTTGCCAGGAGGTGATGGGCCCAGTGACCATGAACTTCGTTTTTTTGATGTTGAGCTTTAGACCATATTTTGTACTCTCCTCTTTCACCCTCATTAAGAGGTTCTTTAATTCCTCCTCACTTTCTGCCATCAAAGTTGTGTCATCTGCATATCTGTGGTTTGTTGATATTTCTTCCTGCAAACTTAATTCCGGCTTGGGATTCATCCAGCCCAGCCTTTCGCATGATGAATTCTGCATATAAGTTAAATAAGCAGGGAGACAATATACAGCCTTGTCGTACTCCTTTCCTTATGGAACCAATCAGTTGTTCCATAACCAGTTCTAGCTGTAGCTTCTTGTCCCACATAGAGATTTCTCAGGAGACAGATGAGGTGATCAGGCACTCCCATTTCTTTAAGAACTTGCCATAGTTTGCTGTGGTCCACGCAGTCAAAGGTTTTTGCGTAGTCAATTAAGCAAAAGTAGATGCCATTCTGGAACTCTCTGGCTTTCTCCATAATCCAGTGCATGTTTGCAATTTGGTCTCTTTGAAATTTTGGTCCCTTTGAAATCCAGCTTGTACTTCTTGGAGTTCTCGGTCCACAAACTGCTTTAGCCAGCCTTGTAGAATTTTGAGCATAACCTTGCTTGCTTGCCTTCTCTCCCCTGCTATTTGTAAGGCCTTGTTGGACAGCCACTTTGCTTTCTTGCATTTCCTTTTCATTGGGATTTTTTTCATTGCTGCCTCTTGTATAATGTTACGAGCCTCCATCCATAATTCTTCAGACACTCTGTCCACCAAATCTAAATCCTTAAACCTGTTCCTCACTTCCACTGTGTATTCATAAGGGATTTGATTTAGATTGTATCTTACTGGCCCAGTGGTTTTTCCTACTTTCTTCAGTTTAAGCTTGAATTTTGCTATGAGAAGCTGATGATCCGAGCCACAGTCAGCTCCAGGTCTTGTTTTGGCTGACTATATAGAGCTTCTCCATCTTTGGCTGCAGAGAATATAATCAATCTGATTTTGATGCTGCCCAGCTGGTGATGTCCATGTGTAGAGTGTGAGGAGAACCTGAGCTTACAGGTTTAAACAGCTGTGCGCCTACTGTGGGGCGGAGAGACTCTGCGTCACTTCTGAGAGTCTCATTTCTTTGTTCTATTCTGCTTTTGCTTTTGTCCGGAACAGACATGCTTGCACAATATTCCATGATTGTGGATAATTTTGCTGTATTAAAGTGCTTTTAGTTTTAGTAACTCTGCGTGAGAGCCTGATTTACGCACACCGAAGCACAGAAGGCAGAAGGCTTATTTTCTGACCGCTGCTAGACTCTGCTTTTTTTCTCAGAGCTTTGGAATGCCTTTGGAATGCGTGCTGCAAAGCAGAGGCCTGCTGCAGCCGAAGTGCGCTGGACTGTTATCTGAGCAATAAATCATTTCAGATAGAGTTGTCTCTTTTGTTGTTGGAAAAAAGTGTTTGTGATGACCAGCTTGTTCTCTTGACAGAACTCTATTAGCCTTTGCCCTGCTTCGTTTTGAACTCCAAGGCCAAACTTGCCTCTTGTTCCTTTTAACTCTTGACTCCCTACTTTAGCATTCTAATCCCCTATAATGAGAAGAACATCCCTCTCAGACAGTAGACACATTGTACCAGACAGTAGACACATTCAATTTTCCATAATGGTACCAAAACTATGGAATGCCCATACTGTGAAGATATTTTGGCCTCATCCTCTTTCTGCATTTAGATGGGCTCTAGATGACCTGTATGTCATTGTTCCATTTTCATCTCATCTTTCCTCCAAAGAGTTCCAGGTGGTGTACATAGTTGCTTCACATCTTTTAATCTGCACAATAATCTTGAGAAATAGATTAAACTGCGAGCTAGTAAATGGCCTATGACTAGTTTTAAACCCTGGTCTCAGTTGTCTGAGGCCAACACTCTAACCTCTATCATAATGGACTCCAGAATGCTGATAGGGGGACTTATAGTCTCTGGGAGACCTGTCTGGATCAGTAGAAATGAAAATGACTACTCACAATATGAGTGGGGGAAAACAGAAATTTTAGTAAATAATTAATGGCTTCTATCAGTTTCTGAAACTGTTCATCTTCAACAGCAAACCGGTGCCCAAAAGCCATAGCGCATATCACATTGGAGACTGAATTAGTGATGTGAAAGGTGGGGTCAAGTGGTTGTCCTGCAAAATAAAATTATACTAATGTTAGTTCAGCCGCTCCTGTTAATACTGAGAACATATTTATGTTAGATTTAAGCAAAACTATCAACATTCCGGATGCGGGTGGCGCTGTGGGTAAAAGCCTCAGCGCCTAGGGCTTGCCGATCGAAAGGTCGGCGGTTCGAATCCCCGTGGCGGGGTGCGCTCCCGTTGTTCGGTCCCAGCGCCTGCCAACCTAGCAGTTCGAAAGCACTCCCGGGTGCAAGTAGATAAATAGGGACCGCTTACTAGCGGGAAGGTAAACGGCGTTTCCGTGTGCGGCTCTGGTTTGCCAGAGCAGCGATGTCACGCTGGCCACATGACCCGGAAGTGTCTCCGGACAGCGCTGGCCCCCGGCCTCTTGAGTGAGATGGGCGCACAACCCTAGAGTCTGTCAAGACTGGCCCGTACGGGCAGGGGTACCTTTACCTTTACCTTTATCAACATTCCTTTCCAAAAAGTACAGCAGTAGTACACAAAGATTTCTTCAGACTGGAATATATGCCAACTCAGCACCATCACTGAGCATCACATACCCTTTGAACGTGCAAACACCTCCACGAGCTGCTGTGCCTCCTCTGCTATTTGCTGCTCCATGCCTTTCTTCCCCAGCCCCAGTTTCCGCATAGTAACCACACCAAAGCGTCTCTGTTGCCTCCAGGTGTGACCATTTGAAAATATAATACCTATGGGAAAATCAGTGAGAAATTATTACTTATATAAACTGATGTTAAAAATTAAACCAACCGCTAAACCAGAAGAATCTATGTTTAGCACTCAAGAGCTACTCTGCCTCTCTGAAGCAAAGGTGACATCTGTGTGTTACATGGACATCTCTACAATATAGGCCGGCACTGCATGCTTTGTACAACAACTCTGAGTTTCTTTTCTACAGCCAAGCTTTATATAAAATTTATGGAATGAAAATGAAATGAATACAGTGCCTGAGAGAACCTATTTGAGCACTCAGACACTCACAAGTGATTCACCCAAATGTCTTGGCTGTCTCAGTTTGTAAAACAACAGAAGACAAATCAGATGGTTCCAGAAGTTCCGGCAATTTACAGTAAAGGTAAAGATACCCCTGACCATTAGGTCCAATCGTGGACGACTCTGGGGTTGTGCGCTCATCTTGATTTACTGGCTGAGGGAGCCGCCGTTTGTCCGCAAACAGCTTCTGGGTCATCTTTGGGCAGTTCTACAAAGATGATAGGGACGCGGGTGGCGCTGTGGGTAAAAGCCTCGGCGCCTAGGGCTTGCCGATCGAAAGGTTGGCGGTTTGAATCCCCGCGGCGGGGTGCGCTCCCGTTGTTCGGTCCCAGCGCCTGCCAAACTAGCAGTTCGAAAGCACTCCCGGGTGCAAGTAGATAAATAGGGACCGCTTACTAGCGGGAAGGTAAACGGCGTTTCCGTGTGCGGCTCTGGCTCGCCAGAGCAGCTTGGTCACGCTGGCCACATGACCCGGAAGTGTCTCCGGACACCGCGCTGGCCCCCCGCCTTTTGAGTGAGATGGGCGCACAACCCTAGAGTCTGTCAAGACTGGCCCGTACGGGCAGGGGTACCTTTACCTTTACCTTTACAAATTATGATGCTTTTGAATTATGGCGCTGGAGGAGACTCTTGAGAGTCCCATGGACTGCAAGAAGATCAAACCTATCCATTCTTAAGGAAATCAGCCCTGAGTGCTCACTGGAAGGACAGATCGTGAAGCTGAGGCTCCAATACTTTGGCCACCTCATGAGAAGAAAAGACTCCATGGAAAAGACCCTGATGTTGGGAACGATAGAGGGCACAAGGAGAAGGGGATGACAGAGGACGAGATCATTGGACAGTGTTCTCGAAGCTACCATCATGAGTTTGACCAAACTGCAGGAGGCAGTGGAAGACAGGAGTGCCTGGTCCATGGGGTCACGAAGAGTCAGACACGACTAAACAACAACAACAAATTATGATTTTGGGCTGGGGTGAGGGAATTGGTATTTAATACAGTGATACTTTCTGCAGAAAAACTTAAACTGCAGCTTATTTCTGTTGGGTCCACCACACTTGTGTTTTATTCAACATAGTTAGGTGTAAGGAACATGTCACTTGTTCGATACAGGAGTGCCAACTTGAGCAAAATATTGTGGGGGCCCAGGTAAGACCTATCCCACATAATCCATCACATGACATGGTGCACACACACCATTTGAATGTCAATGCCCATCAACTTGGGGGGCAGCCCCCTCTAATATTTTATTTGTGAGGCGGAAGCCCTCTCAGTCCCTAGGAGTTGGCTCCTATGGTTCAATCTATGTCTTACCAAAGGTCCGTATAGTTAAAGCCATGGTTTTCCCAGTAGTGATGTATGGAAGTGAGAGCTGGACCATAAAGAAGGCTGATCGCCGAAGAAATGTTGCTTTTGAATTATGGTGCTTGAGGAGACTCTTGAGAGTCCCATGGACTGCAAGAAGATCAAATGCATCCATTCTTAAGGAAATTAGCCATGAGTGCTCACTGGAAGGGAAGATCGTGAAGCTGAGGCTCTAATACTTTGGCCACCTCATGAAAAGACTCCCTGGAAAAGACCCTGATGTTGGGAACGATGGAGGGCACAAGGAGAAGGGGATGACAGAGGACGAGATGGTTGGACAGTGTTCTCGAAGCTACCATCATGAGTTTGACCAAACTGCGGGAGGCAGTGGAAGACAGGAGTGCCTGGCGTGCTCTGGTCCATGGGGTCACAAAGAGTCGGACACAACTAAACGACTAAACAACAACAAATGTGTTACCTTGCACTTAGCCCTTTATAGCTTTTGCGTATGTATTTATTTATTTCATACACTGCTTTATAGTAAAAAGCTTCTAAGCAGTTCACAAAAAATTAGGCAATCAAATCCAGAAAAAATTCCAACCCTACTTTAAAATATGCAAAAGCTAAAATACTAAAACGGATTAAATTTGCCTCAACTTTCTAAGCATCTGGGTAGGCATGTCTAAGCAAGGATGTTTTTTATACACCAAAAAGAATAAAGGGCCTACCTAATCTCAACAGGCAGGGAGTTCCAAACTGTGGGCCTTGATGCACTAAACTTCCAAGTTCTTACAAATACAGAACACTTATTATGTGGCACCTGTAGTAGTGCCAATTCTGCTGATTGATCATAGAATCATAGAATCATAGAATCCTAGAGTTGGAAGGGACCCAAGGGTCATCTAGTCCAACCACCTGCAATGCAGGAATCTCAGCTAAAGCATCCATGACATGTGGCCATCCAACCTCTGCTTAAAAACCTCCAAGGAAGGAGAGTCCACAACCTCCTGAGGCAGACTGTTCCACAGTCAAACAGCTCTTACTGTCAGAAAGTTTTTCCATATGTTTAGTCAGAATCTCCGTTCTTGTAACTTGAAGCCATTGGTTCAAGTTCTACATTCCAAAGCAGGAGAAAACGAGCTTGCTCCATCTTCCAAGTGACAGACCTTTAGATATCTCTTCTTAGTCTCTTCTTTTCCAGGCTAAACATACCCAGCTCCTTCAACCATTCCTCATAAGGCTTGGTATCTAGACCGTTGATCATCCTAGTTGCCCTTCTCTGCACACATTCCAGCTTCTCAACATCCTTCTTAAATAGTGGTGCCCATAACTGGACACAGTATTCCAGGTGGGATCTGATCGCAGCAGAATAGAGAGGTACTATTATTTCCCTTGATCTAGATACTATACGTCTGTTGATACAGCCTGGAATAGCATCTCAACAAATCCTGAACCTTTGCCTACAAAGCACAGCACAAATGGAAGTTCCCATCAGTAATTTGCACATTCAGCAACAGCTAATTGAAATACTTGGCTCAGGGTCAATGCACCTAATTGTTATGTCTAAGGCTCAAGGTCATAAGAGCCAGTGTGCTGTAATGGTTAAGAGCGGTAGTCTTGTAATCTGGGGAACCGGGTTCGCGCCTCCGTTCCTCCACATGCAGCTGCTGGGTGACCTTGGGCCTGTCACACTTCTTTGAAGTCTCTCAGCCCCACTCACCTCACAGAGTGTTTGTTGTGGGGGAGGAAGGGAAAGGAGAATGTTAGCCACTTTGAGACTCCTTAAAGGGAGTGAAAGGCGGGGTATTAAATCCAAAACTCTTCTTCTTCTTCTTCATTGGTGCTGGTTTACAATTAAGTACAATTTGCTCTCTGTTTGGAGCAGGCAGTTGAATTTTCACTCCAATGTGAGACTTTTAGGCATTTGTCAGTTTGGGGTTCAGCAGATTGCAGGACAAGTTTGCATTCAGGCAGTGAGAAGAAAACAGCAAGGTGGTGGAAAGAACAAAGCAAAAGGATGCTTCTGTTACTGTCCGTCAACAGCTCCTTCCAGCTGTTAAGTACAGTGCTATAGTCCATGGGGTCATGAAGAGTCAGACACGACTAAATGACTAAATAAAAACAGCACCACTTGTTACTATTAGAGCTCACTTGATCTGCTAAGTTGTACTCAGAGTAGACCCATTGAAATTAACAGACCTAAGTTGTTGTTGTTTAGTCGTGTCCAACTCTTCGTGACCCCATGGACCAGAGCACGCCAGGCACTTCTGTCTTCCACTGCCTCCTGCAGTTTGGTCAAACCTAAGACCTAAGTTAGCTGTGTCCATTAACTGTAATGGGTCTATTGTGAGTAGAGCTAACATTGGATACAACCCATTTTCTGTTGATTGCAACATTAAGAGAGATCCTTTGTTCTCTTTTTCCAGATACCCTCTTTAAATGTTTTACCTGGGGAAATAGCAGTAGGACTTCTCGTTCTTGACTACTTACCCCTTCCTTTTATTATATCATTAAAAAAAGCCGTCTCTAATCTCTCAGAGAATTCTTCAGAGCGGTCAATGAGTGCTTCTTTCACTGCTTCATATCCAGACAGTACTACCACAGCTAGTGGTCCTCCCCATAAGGTATAAATGTTTCCATATTGCTTTGCCATCTACCATTTGGGTCATAAGGGAGGAGAGAGATATTAGGTTCAAAGTAAGATGATTATTTCAACATGAACTTCAGCCTTCCTCACCTCTGCAGTTTCTGGCCAAGTGTGCATCTCCTCTCTGCAGATTTTCCCCCTCCCCCCAGCTTTCCTTTCCCCTTTCCCCTTTCCCCTTCCCCTTTCCTTTTCTTGCAAGAGAGTTGTGATGTTTTAACATTGATATTGCAGCACTTCAAGAAACTCGAAGAGCAGGTGAGGGACAACTGAAGGAAGAAAAAGGAGGCTACACATTTTTCTGGAAAGCTTTACCTCAACAAGAATGTCAAATACATGGAGTAGGCTTTGCTATCAAAAACAATATTGTGAAGCTCTTTTCAGAATTCCCTACCGGCATTAATGAGTGACTTTCAACCCTTTGAATAAAATTCACAAAAAACCAACAGGCTACTATTCTAAGCACTTATGCGGCAACACTGGATGCCAATGACGACATTAAAGAAATTTTTTACTCTCAGCTGGACAGCATCCTATCAGAGATGCCTAAGGAGGATAAAATTATCCTCCTGGGTGATTTTAATGCAAGAGTTGGGCGAGATTTCGATCTGTGGCCTGGGACTATTGGGAAAGAAGGAATTGGCAACAGCAACCAGAACGAAATCTTTTTGACTATAGGTGCAGTGCACAACCTTGTTATTACCAACATACTCTTATGACAACAAAATAAATTTAAAACATCATGGAGGCACCCTTAGTCGAACCAATGGCATCTCTTAGACTATGTAATTGTTCAAGCTGAAGATTGCTGTAATGTGCTCCTTACCAGAGCTATGGCGAGTGCCAACAACTGCTTGACAGAGCACTGATTAATACATTCCACTATGGCTATCAAGTTTATACCTCAACACAGGCTTCAAGGAAGGAAACCAGGGTGCAAAATGAATACTCAAACCCTTCAAGATCCTATTAAGTGGGATTGCTTCCAAACAACTCTTAAGGACCATCTGCTTTCAGAGTTCCCTAATAACATCAAGGAACACTGGACCAAGCTAAAAACATCAATTATTGCAGCCGATGAACAAACTGTTGGATACCAAACCAAGGACTGGTTTGATGAGAATGACACTGAGATTGAACACATTATTGGCAAGAAAAGAAAGGCCTTTCATAGAGTTAGAAACTGTGGCAAAGAGATAGAAACTGTGCTACTAAGAAAAAAAAACCTATCCCAACGCTAAGAACCTGATAACTAAAGCGCACCTGGTGGATAAAAAAAGCTCAAGAGATCCAGCACTTAGCCAACACTCATGATGCACAGAGTTCCTTTAAAGCCACTAAATCATGGCATATGCCCCCTGAGCTCAAAGACAGTACCACACTTCTAAAAGATAAAGAAGCTATTGCACTGCACTGGAAAGAACATTACCAACATCTCCTTAACTGCAGCTCCCCTGTACATGCTGAGATCCTCTCACAAATTCCACAAAAACAAATTAGAGATGAGCTTGCAGTAACTCCAAATCTGGGAGAGCTGTGAACAGCCATTAACCAAATTAAAAACAACAAAGCCAGAGGACCTGATGTAATACCTGCCAAAGTCTTCAAAGTGGGCGGAATTGAACTTACACAATGGTTTATCACACTTAGCATCGGGGGGCACGTTTGCACACTGGAGCAAACCCAAACTCACAAAAGGGAATAAGGGGCAAGCAAGGGACGCAAACCTCTTAAAAGGCTTAAGCGCAGCACTGTCTAAGCAGCTGATCCAAGCAGTGCAAAAAGGGGTTTCCCGAATGCTCCAGCACTGTGCAAAGTGACAGAGGAAGGGAGAACCTCAGCACTGGATGCATTGTCTTCTCAGCTGTGCGACACCTCAAGCTCAGAGCTAATCAAACCCTGAGCTAATGAGCGATAAACCTCTCTGGAATTAGGACTAAAAATAAACAACCTCATTAAAGACTCATTAAAGAAATTGATAAACTATTAGAAATGAGGGAAGAGGATTTAGATTACATGGTGACTAATGTTTTTAGAATAAAAGTCACCTCGGCCCAGGCAAGACAAAAAATACCCTGGAGACTGTTTAGCAATTTTTAATTCAGCAGAAGTGAGGAATACTATTCTGAGGAAGAGTCGAGAAAAATAATTGATCATAGATGGGAAAACAAATGTGGTGTTCAAGGGTATTCCCAATCGTTTTTTACGCAAGAGAAATGTCTACAAAGAATTGACAAAAAACTTAACAGCTAACAAAATAAGGTTTAGATGGGAGTATCCAGAGGGTGTGTCATTTTATTATAAAAGAAATTCAAAATTAAGACATTACAAGAAATGCAGAAATTTGGGAGAAGATATAAGGAGTTGGGGAAGATGGAGGGAGGGGAACAGGAAAGCGAAGAGGATAAACAAGAACAAGAGGGAGAAGAGAGAGATACCATATTTTTTGCCCTATAGGACGCACTTTTTCCCCTCCAAAAATGAAGGGGAAATCTGGGTGCGTCCTATGGGGTGAATGCAGGCTTTCGCTGAAGCTTGGAGAGCGAGAGGGGTCGGTGCGCACCGACCCCTCTCGCTCCCCAGGCTTCAGGAAGACATCCGCAGCCTAGGCAGCCCTGCGGGAGTTCCCGCAGGGCTGTCTAGGCTGCGGATAGTAGCCTGCTTCCCGGAGCGCAGGGCGCGCGGAAAGCAGAGCTCCCGGCGCTTCGGGAACACATCCGCAGCCTAGGCAGCCCTGCAGGAGGTCCCGCAGGGATGTCTAGGCTGCGGATAGCAGCCTGCTTCCCGGAGCGTCGGGCGCCCTGAAAGCAGAGCACCCGGTGCTTCGGGAACACCTCCGCAGCATGGGGAGCCCTGCGGGAGTTCCCCACAGGGCTCCCCACGCTGCGGATAGCAGCCTGCCACCCGGCGGGCGAGGCACCCTGAAGCAGAGCGCCCCGCACGCCGGACAGACATCCGCAGCATGGGGAGCCCTGCAGGAGTTCCCCGCAGGGCTCCCCACGCTGCGGATAGCAGCCTGCCGTCCGGCGGGCAGGGCGCCCTGAACCAGAGCGCCCCACGCACCGGACAGACATCCGCAGCATGGGGAGCCCTTCAGGAGTTCCCTGCAGGGCTCCCCACACTGCAGATAGCAGCCTGCCGCCCGGCGGGCAGGGAACCCTGAAGCAGAGCGCCCCTCGCGCCGGGCAGACATCGGCCAGCCCCACAAGCTCGAGGGACAGCAGGGAGGCGCAGCGCCGCCATCCCGCTGTTCCTTGACCTGGTTCGGTTTGCCCGACCTGCTTTTGGGGGGGAAATAAAGGGGGGAAATTTTTCCTTTATTCCCCCCCCAAAAAAAAAACACAACTAGGTGCGTCCTATGGGGTGGAGCGTCCTATGGGACGAAAAATATGATATTTAAATGTAAACAATAAAATAAAATTGTATTTAAATAAATAAATCAAAATGACAATTAAAATTATATCATTGAATGTTAATGGCATGAACAATAAAGCCAAAAGAAATAAAATTGAAAATGAGTTATTTAAAAAAACAGACATAACTTGCATACAAGAAACACACATAGCACGTAAATCAAAAATATTGGTAAAGAACATGAATGAGGAACAACTAGACCAACTACAAAGCAAAACAGAAATAAAAACAGTAAAGAAAATAAAATATTTGGGTGTTTGGCTCTCCCCGAAAAATACAAACCTATTCAAGGATAATTATAAAACAATATGGAAAGAAGTAAAAACGAAATTGGAAATATGGGACAGACTGAAGCTATCCTTCTGTGGAAGGATAGGAGGTATTAAGATGAATGTCCCACCAAAAATGCTCTTTTTATTTCAAACCATTCCAATTATAACAGGACAAGGCCAATTCAATGAGTGGCAAAAACTGGTCTCCAGGTTTGTATGGCAAGGGGGAAAGCCTAGAATAAAATTCAAACTTTTAATGGACAAAAAAGAAAGAGGAGGCTTTTCACTACCGGACCTCAAAATATATTGCGAAGCTGCATCTATAATATGGTTAAAAGAGTGGTTTAGTTTGGAAAATATGGATATATTAGATCTGGAAGGTTTTGGAAACAGATATGGGTGGCACGCATATCTTTGGTATGACAAGGTCAGAGTACATTGGGACTTTTAAAATCACATCATAAAAAGACCACTATTTGAAGTCTGGAAAAGATATAAAGAGTGGTTCGAAAGAAAGATGCCATGGTGGCTGTCACCCCAAGAGGCTTTTTCACTGAAAAGTCTAAATATGAAAGGAAAATGGTTGACCTATAGAGACATGTTATTGGAAGAGAACAATGTAATTAAGATTAAACCATATGAGGAATTGAAAGATAAACTGCAAAGTTGGATGGAGTACCATCAAATGGGTGATATCTTCTCAAAGGATAAGAAAACAAGAGGGTTTGAACAAACAAAATCAATATTAGAAACTGTAGTACTACAAAATAACAAAAAAGCACTGTCTAAGATCTATGAGTATTTATTAGAATGGCACACAAAAGATGAAGAAATCAAAAGCGTCATGATTAAGTGGGCAATAGATGTAGGCCACAACATTGAGTATGAAAAGTGGATAAAATTATGGAATACCGGCCTAAAATGTAGAGCATGTACATTGTTAAAAGAAAATCTGTTTAAAATGATGTACAGATGGTACCTCACGCCAATTAAATTGTCAAAGATGTATAAAACAGGAAATAAAAATTGTTGGAAGTGTTGGGTGAAAGAAGGCAGTTTTTTCCACATGTGGTGGACTTGTGACATAGTGAAAACGTATTGGGAAAATATATATAACGAATTAAAGATTTTTAGGTATACGTTTTTGAAAAAACCAGAGTCATTCCTTTTGGGAATGGTGGGAGAAGACATTGACAAGAATGACCAGAAACTGTTCTTATACACAACAATGGCAGCGAGGTTACTGCTGGCTCAGATATGGAAACAGCAAAAATTGCCTACAATAGAAGAATGGCAGTACAAGGTTATGGGGGTGAAACATATCAGGGGGATGAAACATATCAAAAAGAATGGGGAAAATTTATGTTATATATAGAGAAGATGATGTGAAATAGGGAAACCAGTAGAGTTAAAATAATATCTCATAACGAGAAAATACAAGAAATTTACTGGATAATAATATCAAAATGAATTAAAAATGTATATTAAGACTATTATTGAACAATATTTGTAAATGAATATAGACAGACAACAAGAACTTGTATATATAGAAAGATTTATTTGTTTATGGACATTTAATGGAAAAAATGAAAAAGAACAATCTTATTGAAAATGGAAAAAGACAATGCGAAAAGTCAAAGAGGATATAAAAAAACCAGAAGAAGGAAGGAGGGAAGTCAGCTCAGGAGAGCAAGAACAAATGTGAAATATAATGTATGTGTATGCACAGTATGTAACTAAAAATTTAATAAAGACCATCTGAAAAAGAAAAAAAGAAAAATGGGTTTGCAACAGAAATTTTGAGGCTGGAAAAAGAATTAATACAAAGCAGAAGCAAAGTGTTATCTAAAATGTATAGACTTGATTGGGAAGTAAAAGATGAAGAAGTGAAAGAAGTTATGATTAAATGGGCAAAAGATTTTGGGCATACCATACAAACGGATGCCTGGGAACAATTATGGATCAGAGATTTAAAATTTACGGCGTGTTACACACTAAAAGAAAACTTTATGAAGATACTGTCATTATTGCAGTGCCACCAAGACACATTTAACATTGCTCCATCGAGGGTTTCATAAAGAGTTAGGTACCTGATTCCAAGACAATTACAAATTCCTCCTCTCACACATTCCGCAAAAGCAAATTAGAGATGAGCTTGGAGTATCTCCCAATCTGGGAGAGCTGTGGACAGCTATTAACAAAATTAAAAACAACAAAGCTGGCTGACGCCTTGTCATTAGAAGCATTCCAGACCTCGCCTTCCCCCAGAACTAGGACAGCTGATAGAGTGGAAGAGCAGAAAGCAAACCCACCATGGGCTTTATGTAGCCACCGTAAGGGGGGTGAAGCTGCTGCTGACGAGAGAGAGGGAAAGGGGGATTACTCAGAGCAATAACAGTGATGGATAGGGACTGCATTCCTTTGTCCCTCTCTGTAAATCCTGAATAAATTACATGGTAAGGACTCTTCTTGTTAGCTGTTTCGTCTTGCCACTCATACTGCAAGCTCATGGGAAAGTTGTGTACAGCTATTAACCAAATGAAAAACAACAAAGCCAGCGAACCTGATGTGATACCTACCAAAGTCTTCAAAGTGGGCGGAATTGAACTTATACAATAATTTCACAAGCTCATTGAAAAAATCTGGGGGAGAGAGGAGATCACAGCAGACTTTAGGGATGCTAGAATTACCAGTTTGCCAACAAAGGTCCGTATAGTTAAAGCCATGGTTTTCCCAGTAGTGATGTATGGAAGTGAGAGCTGGACCATAAAGAAGGCTGATCACTGAAGAATTGATGCTTTTGAATTATGGTGCTGGAGAAGACTCTTGAGAGTCCCATGGACTGCAAGAAGATCAAACGCATCCATTCTTAAGGAAATCAGCCCTGAGTGCTCACTGGAAGGACAGATCGTGAAGCTGAGGCTCCAGTACTTTGGCCACCTCATGAGAAGAGAAGACTCCTTGGAAAAGACCCTGATGTTGGGAAAGATGGAGGGCACAAGGAGAAGGGGGCGACAGAGGACGAGATGGTTGGATAGTGTTTTCAAGGTTACCAGCATGAGTTTGACCAAACTGCGGGAGGTAGTGGAGGACAGAGGTGCCTGGCGTGCTCTGGTCCATGGGGTCATGAAGAGTCGGACACGACTAAACGACTAAACAACAACAAAAGAATTACCAGTCTCTTTAAAAGAAGGTGATAGAACGCATTGTGGAAACTACAGTGGTGCCTCGCAAGACGAAATTAATTTGTTCCGCGAGTTTTGTCGTCTTGCGATTTTTTTCGTCTTGCGAAGCACGGTGTCGGGAAAGTTTTGGAAAAGCTTCAAAAATCACCAAAGTCTTTAAAAACCTCAAAAAAGGCTACCACACCGCGTTCTATGAGTTGCTCCTCGAAGTCAAGTCGCAACTATATTAACGGTGTTAAGAAAAAGGAAACAAACTTGCAAGACGTTTTCCCATAGGGAAAATCGTCTTGCAAAGCAGCTCAAAAAACAAAAAACCCTTTCGTCTAGCGAGTTTTTTTGTCTTGCGAGGCATTCGTCTTGCGGGGCACCACTGTATAGAGCAGGGGTGTCAAACTCAAATTCATCGGGGGCCGCATCAGCAGTTTGGTCACCCTCAAAGGGCCAGTTGTATCTGTAGGACTATGTGTCCATTCTTTATTATCATAAATTATTGTCACTGCATTCAATTATTGATAATAATAAACAGCATCATGAAGCAAAAATATTTCCTGTTTGAAAACAAATATATTTACATACATCACTAAATTCTGAGCACATTAATTCTACATGATATGTTGTCAAATTATTATAATGGCCACAGATCCTCAAATTCTAAAAACAAAACTTTGATCCCATGCAAGAAAACAAGGTTAGGGCAACTTTAAAACAATTTTAATGTCCAGTCGTTAAAAATATAGCAAAACAGGGAGGGGATGCACAAAACTAATAATTAAAATGGGGGGAGGGAATGGAAAACCTTAGACTCTAGATGACCCGTCAGGTCCCTTTCCAACTCTACGAAGAAAGAGGGGTCAAAAAGAGGGGTTCGCACGGAGATTCTGAGCCGAGGAAGCTCCCCAAACCCGAAGGACCGGATGAGGCCACCCTGCGCCCATTTACCTATGAGCAATTTCCCCTCCCGCTTGCAAAACCCAGCGGTGCTTCCTTGCAGGGGAACCTTCCGCACTGCATGCGCGCATTACCATTGCGCAAAACGGGGAGGCGAGGAAGAAAGCAAGCAAGCGAGCAAGGGAGGCGGCCGTTCACTTACTTCTTTCTCCAGGTGCAGAAGACGCCGTTGCAAATAATAATAATAATAGCAACGCCCCACTTTTCCTCCAGCGCCCCGCTTGCAAAAAAACAAACAAACCCAGATTTGGTGGTGCAGAGGGAAAGCACCCCAGGAGCTGCTTTGCTGCAGCCGGCGCGCATCACCAGGGAACGACCTCCGGCTGCTTTCGGAGATGGGCTCGCTCTGTGGGTTTGTTTTTCTCCCCCCTCCCTCCCCCCGAGTCACAATTCCAGGGCTGCGTCCCCTTTAACACCAGCTGATCACCGGCCGCCTTTGCCCCGGAGCCGGCTGGGAGTTGTAGTCCCGTCCCCGGCCCGCGGCACTGGCACCGGAGGTGCCCAGGCCTTAGCATCATGGGTGTAGCCAAGGGGGGCAGAGGGGTAGCTGCCCCTCTCTAAATCAATAAAAATCATTCCCTCGCTTTCCTCCGCCATGAATACGGAGAACTTCGTGGCCAGCGAGAGGCTCGTGAACGCGGCCTACGTGCGGCAGGGGTCGCAGGGGCGCCGCGTACATGAGCTCTGCTTGCGGGCCTTACTGGAGCAGGTAAAAAGCCAGGCTCGTTGTTTCTTTCCCCGCTGAGGGAAAGCGGGAGTGGGGGCGTGGCCTAGTCTCCGGAGGCTCCGCCCACCCGTCTGACTGCTTTTCAGGCCGCGCATGCGCTGAAGAGGCGGCTTTCTTGTGTCAAAACAAAAAACAAAAATGAGAATAAAAGGTAAGGCTGGCGGCCGGCGGCTACACGGGCCACATGACGAGGTCTGGTGGGCCGGATTCGGCCCGCGGGCCTTGTGTTTGACACCCGTGGTATAGAGGCATTTGTTTATTAGCTGCGGCCAGCAAAATTATTGCAGGGATCTTAGCAAACCATCTTCTAACAATATCCTAGGCTACCCTTCCTGAATCCCATAATGGTTTGTGACCTTCTAGGAGGATAGTGGAGATGATTTTCATCACTCAACAGCTTCAAGAAAATGCAGAGAGTAAAACCAACCCCAGTATATGACGTTTATTGACCTAAGGCCAGTGTAAATCATAATGCCCTGTGGACTGTCCTTCTGAAAATTGGCTGCCCAGATAAATTTGTGAACATCCTTTGGCTCCTCCATGAAAATATGACAGCAACAATCACAGAAAACAATGGCCCTTAAAGTGAACCATTCACAGTGGGATCAGGTACGGTGGTACCTCTGGATGCGAACAGAACATGCGTTCCGGAGCCTCGTTCATATCCAGAAGCAAACGCAACCCATGTCCGCGCATCTGTGTGTGCGCGGGTCACAATTCACCACTTCAGCGCATGCACGTGACGTCATTTTGACTGTCTGAGCATGCGCAGGCGGTGAAACCCGGAAGTAATGTCCTCTGTTACTTCCAGGTCACCGCAGCGCGCAACCCGAAAATACTTATCCCGAAGCTACTTCAACCCGAGGTATGACTGTATTAAACAGAGTTTTTATTAGTTTTAGCCTCTTCAAGACCTCAAAACTGCACCTTAAGGACCTTAAAGACTATTGGCTGTCTGTCTTGTCGCCTCGTTTTAATTAGTTTACTCTTTTATTGTTCTATTGTTTTACCGTTGCACTGTTTACTGATACTACTACACTGACTACACTGACTTACAACCTTGGAGCTCCCGGACGACGGACTGGCTTGAAATACAGCCAAAGAAGCAGAGGAAACCGCTGAACTCCATTGAGCCTAACTTCGATAAGATAAGTCCAAGAACTCCCCCATGAATACCCTCCCGCCCCAAGTTAAGGCTTAAAGAGGGAAAGGTAGGGAGGCTCCCTGACCCAACAGCCTGGATACCGGTTTTCCAAACTTTACCTCTACTTTTATTTCTACAATAAAGTGCCCAATAAGGGAAGCTTTCAACTTAGAGAATGGTGTTCACAAGACAGAGCTATAAAGAGCTGGGAATCCCCCTCACCAAAGCGGCTGAACCCTCTACAAGAGGAAGGCAGGTGAAAATCTCACAATATTTTAAACCGAAAACAGACAAAATAAATAATGCTGACAAACGACACCCCCACGAATGGTCCATAGACCGCACCAGGTACGGGGAGCTTATGGAAACAGGCGAAGAAGGGGTGGGAGTCAATCTAGCAACGGAAATAAAACAAGCTGCCATAGAAGATGAAACCTCAGTGAGTCAACCGGGGCTGGAGCAGGAACAAGAGTCACAAGAGGAAAACCCAGTAATTAAGACAGATGAGCCCTCCCAAAGACCCAGGCCCGGGGAGAAGATGGGGTTTCACACTGTGACAAATGAGGACCTGGAGGACACAAGAGCCCAATATCTGGACTTGGAATGCCTCTTCTACATACTAACAGGGCTATATAATGATCTGTTAAATGAACAGAAGTTGCAGATAGGCAGAGAACTGGGACACATCAAAGACTTCCTCTCAGAATGCTTGGGCCTACTTACCACCCTGACTGAAATAACTAGGAGAATAGACAACTTGCATTCATATAAAGTTCTCTCTAGCACACCAAACGATAACAGCATTAAGGAAAATAAAACCCGACATGATGTGGAAAAAAGGAAAACATCTAGGAACAAAGCAAACCAGAAGGGAAACTTAATTGACCCTAAGAAACCCCTCTTAAAGGGGAAGTGTCCCAGGAATAAAGAGAAGAAGCCCAAGAATGTAAAAATGGGAAGGAAGACAAAGCTCCCATCTCGAACAAAGAAAATGAACTTCACAAGACTATTTAAGCTATTAGAGAATTCAAATCCAACGAGCCCAGTTAACCCAGTTCTGCAACCCCTTGATAAAAGCCGAAGCCCAAGCACAAATAAAAACCTCCATAAGGCTGGGCTTTTCAATTCAACAGAGGAACTCCATAAGGCTAGGCTTCATAATTCAACAGAGCAACTAGCACTCCCGAATGGAACTGCGGGAAAATCAAGGGAAAACCCGATCCCTAAGCAAGAAACTACTCCTAAAACAACATACTCTCGCAGAAATCTAATTCTAAATAAACAAAAACTTATCATCCTACCTGTATACATGCACAAAGATCTCCTTTCCCCAGCACAACAGAGAATCTATATTCTCAAGAAAACTGAATTAGCCGTTAGAGGGTTCGTCCCAGCAGAAAACATCATTAATGTTAAATTTCTGCCATCAGACAAGGACCTAAACAGAGTTGTGGTAACATTCAGAGACTGGCACACAACCAAACTAGTTTCAGACAATAAGGACAAGCTACAAAGGGTTGGATTGCAGGTGACTCGCCTATTTGAAGTG